GAATTCAGACAAATATTCATGATGCTTTAATTTGATCAATGTGACATAAGAAAGAGGAAATAAAAAGCTAACTTTTTCCCCAATATGAATTAAGTAATTTGGCTAATCGGTCCCGCAAGGGATGACTCAACCGTATAACATCTGTCAAATGATCCAAGTTTGAATCCCCTTGTCAATAATCTATAGGTCGAGACCAACGATCTCTTAGTCGAGATTGTGTCGTACATGATTAGTCTGGTGTGGTTTACATCTGATCTCGTATGGTTACGATAGTGTAACATGATTAGCCCAGTTTTGTCTGCATCTCTCGTGTGGTTTTCAAGATATTATATATACGAGAGTATATGTTTACTAAATGCACCATTGATAGCGAGTTCTTCGTTAAAAAAAAAAAAAAGTAATTTGGCTAATTGCATTCATCTTCTCATTTGTCTTGTTCTGTTTAGACACACTTGAAAAGTTCCTTTACCCTATGATTCTTACCTCTCTCTGCACCAAATTTCTTCCCCATATGTACCAATGCTGACAAATATCCCATCGAATTTAGTGGCTATAATCTTATGCAGGTGGCATTATTATTAACATGGTCCATTGGTATGTCATATTTAGTTTATAAGACCATTTACCAACAAACTATTAAATGGTTTACAACTACTTTTTTTCTTATTACTTATTTCATACATTCATATGCCACTTGGACTATAATAGTATAAAAACAAGATCTAATCCTTAACTATACTGTCACAAAAAGGCAGTTTGAAGAGTCTTTCCATTCTTAATTCCTTGTACACCAACATCGGTCTACATAGTATAACTAGTTTAATGTATTAATACTACATGTTTTGTATTACTACTTTGTTCCAAATTAAGTGTCGCTTTAGGAAATTTTCTACTTTTATATTAGCTGTCACTTTATAATTTCAATAACACATTAATTATCATTTTCTCAATTGTGCGGTTATCACTCTTGATAAGGTCGGAAAAATATAATAAAATTAATAACATGAGTATTTTGGTCATATTATATATATTACTTCCTAAAATCGGTGCAAATTTATTAGTTTTTTTAATATGTGTGCATTAACCCTAAAATGACACATATTTTGGCATTATTGCAGCTGCAACTGGTGCTGGCTTCATTGCAAGGGACATAACATTCGAAAATTGGGCCGGGCCGAGCAAGCACCAGGCGGTGGCCCTCCGCGTGGGGGCGGACCACGCAGTGATCTACCGATGCAACATCATTGGGTACCAAGACACCCTTTACACGCACTCCCAGCGGCAGTTCTACCGCGAATGCGACATCTACGGCACAGTGGACTTTATATTCGGGAACGCGGCCGTTGTCTTCCAGAACTGCACGATCCACGCTCGGAAGCCGTTGCAGTTCCAGAAGAACACGATCACCGCCCAGAACCGAAAGGACCCGAACCAGAACACGGGCATTTCGATCCACGCATGCCGGATCCTTGCCGAACCGGATCTCGAGGCAGCCAAGGGGTCGTACCCTACGTACTTGGGGCGGCCTTGGAAGTTGTACTCTAGGACGGTGTATATGATGTCGTATATAGGGGATCATGTTCACCCTAGGGGGTGGTTGGAGTGGAATGCCACGTTTGCGTTGGATACTCTGTATTACGGGGAGTATATGAATTACGGGCCTGGTGGGGCCATAGGGCAAAGGGTGAATTGGACGGGGTATCGTGTGATTACGGCAGCGGAGGAGGCTAGCAAGTTTACGGTGGCACAGTTCATTTATGGGTCTTCATGGTTGCCCTCCACCGGAGTGGCCTTTTCTGCCGGGCTCTTGACTTGATACCCCCCTTGCTTTGACTATATTGATATGGTATATAGTAATTTTTATTAGTTGTTATTTTATTTTATTTTATTTTTCTTTGGGGGGTTAAGTTACTGAACTGACACATAAGGCTCAAATTGATGGATTATTTGATATGGTGTAGTAAAGTTGGATGAAATTGTAACATGGGGAATGTACACTAGTATTTGTACTCTTTTCTCCATTGTCAAAATAATATCTTATTTTATTTGGTACACTTCATATGTGGGTTTGTTTGTGTAAATTAAATATTGTTTATTTTATAAAAAAATAAGTAAATAAATTGAAGAATATAGGTTAACTGTTATTCTGTCGGTGGGTATAAAATATTTATGGAAATAAATGCTTAGACCAACTAATTATATGTGACCCACAAGATACATGCATGCAGGAAGTTATGACCATGTGAACCAGTTCAGACAGCTGGCTGAAGATATTAAATATTACTTATTTTCCAAGCTTTCACAATTTTCAAACAAATTAATATTCCGTGTAATTGCAAAAATTCAGTCATTTTAATTGAGCAAATTAATTACGTACATTTAAGATTCAAATCATTTTAAAATACTCAGAACTAATTGATTGAGAACAGTATGAAAGCCCATCGACGAATGGGTTTGCCCCAAATGATGGAACATCCAGTCAATTTTGATTCCTTAATTGGGCCGACATATAACATTACCCGATCCAGTTCATTGGGTGAGTTTTAAAATGACAATTGTACCCCCAAAAGAGGTTCTTATTACACGAGGAGAAACCAGAGTTCAATTACAAGTAACTCCGGTATACAGGTGAGATAAAGTCGAAAACGAGGAATCAGAATTTGTACGAAAATGCAGAACATGTTACCTACAAACTTCTCTCGATAAAATCCCATATCCTCTTTTCCATATATATACGATCCGTAAGCCTACGAGGCATGTGTCGTTCATCGGGAAAGATCAACAATTCGTAAGATTTCCCAGCAGAAATAAGTGCATTCACAAGCATAGCAGTGTGCCTAAAATGCACATTCTCATCAATCATTCCATGCACAAGCAGTAGCTTCCCCTCCAAGTTTCCCACATGATGCATCACAGAACTGTGCAAGTAGCTCGATTTGTTTTCACAAGGCAAGCCCATGTACTTTTCGGTGTAAAACGTGTCGTATCCATTCCATGATGTGACAGGTGCACCAGAAACTGCACATTTGAAGACTTGGGGGAATCTTGTTAGTGCCATTGCCGATAAATATCCACCATAACTCCATCCGTACAGTCCAATATGACCAGGTTTAGCTAACCCTAGTTTAGTCAGCCATTCAGCTCCGGTTAGTTGATCCTCAACGTCGATTTGGCCGCAGTTGTATTTCAGTGCACCTGCAAACTTGAGCCCACGTCGTGCAGTTCCTCTGTTATCCATCTGCAAAAGGTAGTGTACATAGCAGTCATGTAGTGTATATAGCAGATATTCCAAAAGTAGGTAAAAATCACAGCAAAAAAAATGTATTCTCAATCGGGAACAAACAATCGAACCTTCCAAACTAAAATGCCTTTACTTCTCAGATATTGGGCTCTCATGTCAACGGTGTTTATCCAAGAATCAGAGACTAGTTGTACACTAGGACCCCCATATACATGAATCATTGTCTTGTAAGGTGGTGGTCCGAATCTAGCAGCGTCAGGTTTATATAGTGCCCCATACAAAGTTGTTCCATCCTTTGCCTCTAACTGAATAACCTCTGGACTCTCGAGCGGTAGTTTCTTAAACTTGGGAATGTCGACTGGCTGCTCATAAAGAGATGCAATCAAGCTTCCGTCGAGCAAAGAGTGTACCGTAAGTTTGGGAGGTGAAGACAAGGAATCATGGATATCAATAAACCTCTGCAACATATGATCAAGCACAACCACATGTTTACCCTTTCCATTGGTTAATCTCGATGGAGCCTGTAACGAATGGCTTGCATCTGGGAATAAATTGGTCGAATAAAGATGAGATTCCAAAGAGCCGTCTAAAGTTCCAGTAAAGTAAATAATTCCAGAAGCTTCGTTTACACCGGCAACATGGTCTACCGCCCAATCACCTTGAGTAATAGGTCCCAAGCACACTCCATCCAAATCATACAAATATAAATGTCTGAATCCGGTTTTCTCGCTAGCCCAAACAAAGCCTCCACGAGATTTATTGGGTATTTTGTCTAAAGGGGTGAAGCAATCATGCAAATTGATCCATGTTTCGTTTTCTTCTTCCAATATGACTTCCCTTTGACCAGTTTTAATGTCAAACTTGAGGATCTTTAGTTTAGAATGTGTTCTGTTCAAAACCTGAGCAATCAGAATATTCCCGTGCATCCAATTGACTCTCGCCAGATATTCCTCATTGTGTGCTTCTCCGCAGTGAAGATCCATCCAACTAACGGGTCCACCAGAGGCAGAAACAACACCCAAACGAACTTTTACATTTGAAGCACCAGCAAAAGGGTAAGCATGGTCTTCTTGTGCATCTGAGCCCACTGAATCTTTGCCTTGATGCATGATCCTAAAGAGAGGTATCTCAGATGAATCGACCTCAGTAAACGCAATAAGTTTGCTGTCAAGTGACCACCAGTACCCACTCTTTCGATCCATTTCCTCCTATAGCCGAAGAACATTAGCATTTTCTCAGTTAGCAAACACACTTATTTCTTATTGTAATTGGAAATTGAAGTTTTTCTTTTTTTGCTTTTTCCAGACCAGGTCACACCATTGAATACAAAATCAGAGCAAGAAACATAATAACCCACCTGCGCAATGAACTCAGCAAGACCGTGCGTCTGAAAAGCCCAACATAAAAAACATAAGTCACTTTCATCATGCACTAAATAAATGAAATAGATATTCTGCTTCAGTGTTGCATAATTCATTAAAAGGAAAATGAGACATTAGGTAGGCATAAATAGTTACAGTCATGCCAAACCATCAAAACAAATCTTGTAGAACAGGTCATTTACCTTTCTTGTGGTCAATAAAGACAGGTAAATAAAATCTTAAGGAACTAAACAATCAAAAACGAACATAAAATGTACGTCCTACTTAAAAAAAGGGAAAGTTACCAACGGTTAAACACCTTTCAGTTTGACTTAATATGGAGCTACCTGACCATCGAAAACAAATATCATATGAGGGCAAGGTATGAAAGAAAGATCGACTTTCATAACCAACATGGTATAACACATGGCATAAATATATAATAACGAGACACGAACAAAAATTGGAACATAATGCTTACAATAGCATTCTCATTGGCACCCAGGGTCAACTGCTTCGACGTGTTGAATAGAAGATTTAACACATGAAGCTCATTATCCCTCACGTAAGCAAGTGTCGTTCCATCTGGGGAGACATGCGGGTCTATAATTGGCGAGCAAGCGACACTTGGAAGCTTCAGTTGTGGTTTAACGCCAAAATCCTGACTATAGACCTGCTCACATGTAGCAGATGTGGGTTAGTTAAAGAAGGTAATCAACAGAATATGTTATAAACAAGTGTCCGTCACAATGAAACTCTTCAAACATAAACGAGACGTGATGTTAGGAAAACACACCCCAGCTGGTAGAGGTACCATAACCGTTTTCCTCTTTGGACTCGTGTTTATCCATTCATAGCGTGTGACACCTAAGCCACGCTCCCTTAACCTCTCCCGTCTCAACTTCTCTTCAGCAGATAAATTATTCTCGTCAAGCCCACCATCTGGTGGGCTGAAAAACAGTTCATGCTTGCCAGTCTTGGGGTCGAACGTAAACAATTTTCTATTCAAAGTCTGATCGGGACTGAACAAGTACGCTATCAGACTATCGTCGGGGCTAAAACTAACTGCAGATGGCACTCCGTAACCTGGTAGAGGGGACTGCACTATCTCTTCGACGGGGAATGCCGTGCAGTTATCCTGAGCATTTGCTGCCGTTGAATCGGTTGCAGGCATCTTGTGAGGAAGATATCTCGAACGCTTCAAATTCTTCTTATTCCCACTGTTATTGGGTCATTGCATAACAAAATAAACATCCGAATTTTAGTAGTTTATACATCAACTTATGCATACTGAATAATCTGCCGAAAGCAAAGTTAAAATTATTGGAAGTAGAAGTAAATAGCAAACACAGAATATTAATTTAATCAAGATTTAGTCAAGAGATAATCGAATTATTGCCCAAGTTAAAGCAGCTTTTTGAGCGTCTGCTTTTTCCAGCGGAAAAAGGTGGGTTAAAAAAATCACTTTTCGTTCCGCTGGATCGAAAAATTTGCTACTCAACTTGAAACTAAAGTAGTATACAGAACAGTTAACATCAAATCTTTACACATTGTCACCCAGAAAAAGAAAAAAAGTGAACAAAAACAAATCAGCAAAAAGGTCATCAACAATCAGAATTATCCTGCTACACCTACTAGCGATGAACAATAATTTAAGAATATTCCCTAATAATTGAACTACTAAAAATAATCATGAAGATGAATATGCAATCTGACCTGTCTTTTATGATCCGGCAAAGAATAAGATCGAATTTGGACTCGAGATTCGGATTCCGATTCGAATTCCTTCAAATTACTCTGTTACTGATTAAATCAGGCTCTTAAAACGCACAACAATTTCTCAGAAAAATCGCAGTTAGCAATTTGGGGAAAAATGAGAAATTAAAAACCGGCAAACGGTTTCATGCAAGCGAGTTCGATAGTGGATGAAGTGTTTTGATTTTGGGGAAGAGTGGCGCGTAATAATACTCTCGAGAGTTGCGCGTGAGGACAGAGGTTTTCCCAGCGTCGTAGTTAATTAGGCATAAAATTTGGATTATTTAGGCATAATTTGGCGTAGTTAATTAGGCTTATTAACAAGGTAGTCAATATCTGATTATTATTCCATTCAGTAATAAAATAATATCAAATCATCATTCATCATTTTATCGTTGTATTATCTCCTTTTTAGTACTATTTATCTATCTTATTCTTACTAATTAAAAAGAAATGGAGTTATATTTTAGGGAAAATTTGACAAAACCACCTCATTACACAAGTGTTATTACAATGAGCCCAATTTTATTTTATATTTTTAAGATAAATCCAAAAAATCTTTTATGAATTAAAAACACTTGAGTATCACCATTGTACCCCTAACTAAGAAATTACTTATATTTAATTTTGATATTAAAAGATATATAATATATTTTCCATATATACCCATATATATATATATATATATATATATATATATATATATATATATATATATATATATATATATATATATATATATATATATATATATATTAAATAACACCTTATTAACAACATATATGTCTCTCTCTCTCTCTCTCTCTCTCTCTCTTAAATATCTTAATTAAATCCAAAATTAATAACGTCAATAGAACAAAATTAATAATACACAACTATCATAAATTAATAACATTTAAATAGAAAATGAATGTAATTTCGAAAATAGAAAATGAATGTAATTTCGAAAATAAAAAATGAATGTAATTTCAAAAATGAATGTAATTTCGTTAATTACGGAGTGGTTTTCATTAATTACATAATGGTTTTCTGTTAATTGATAAGTTTATAGTGACTTTTTGCAATGTAATTTGTTAATTACAAAGTGATCTTCATTAATTAAAGAGTAATTTTCATTAATTACGGAGTGGTTTTCGTAAATTGATAAGTTTTTAGTGATTTTTTGTCATAGAACTTGTTAATTACATAGTAGTTTTCATTAATTATAGAGTGATTTTTGTTAATTGATAAGTTTTTAGTGAATTTTTGTAATGAAATTTGCTATTTACATAGTTTTTCGTTAATTTACAAATTGGTTTTCATTAATTATAGAGTAGTTTTTAATTACATAGAGATTTTCGATAGGTTTATAATAGATTTTCGTAACAAAATACTACTATAATTACATAGTGGTTTTTGGTAAATTTACAGTGAATTTCAATTTGTTAAAAACAATATTTTTTTTTTAAATTTAACTTTAAAAAAGAGATGTATAAAAAAAATCATTTAATTTTTTTTTAAAAAAAATGATAAAACTTAAAACATAAAAAATAAAATAAAAATCCAATTAATTAATTAATTATTTGGAAGGAGAAAGTGGCGTGATACATGAGAGAATAGGGGGTGGTGGGGAGAAAATAGGGGGATTTGCATATCTACAAAAGAAATAATGGATTTTTAAAATAATATAATATGGAAATTTTCAATAATATTAAATAGGGGCATTTTAGATAATTCGAGCCAATTGGGTTTATAACAAATATCAATTAAAAAAATTGGATTTATTAAGAAGTCAAAATTCAATGAGGGGTGTTTGACAAATAGCCCCTATTATTAATATTTACTAAACTAAAAATAACAAAAACAAATCCATGCCCAGTTTATTACGTATGCTAGACAACGGATTTCCTTCTACACAAAACATAATTTCAAACCTCAAACTAATATTACAACAAAAATAACCCTGTACCAAAAAAAAAAAAAAACATTAATAATATACATAAAAAAAAAACATTAATAAAAAAAACATTAATAATAACCCTGTACCAAAAAACATTCATCTGCAAAACCATAGCAAGAACCCGAAACCTTCCACTTTCGGCTAACAGAAACTCGATCCGTGCTGTATAAAAGTATGATCTGTATATACATAAATATGTATGTATGTCCTTCTTGAAGTTCATTTCCTCGAAATGTGACAGGGAGGGAGTTACCAAAGAGCTGCAAGTTGATTTACACTTCGGAGTCTTCAACTTCCGAGCTTATTACGAAGCTAGGAAACGCAAGTGTTATATCCCTAAACCGTCAAAGTATTTGAATAAAATCAGGTCGATGTAAGGTCAGTGAGTGAAATAGTTTCCAAGATGAAAAATAGAATCAAATGATGAGCTAATAAGCTCGAGTTTGGTTTAAACTATATAGTATGATATGAGTTGGATCCTTCATTAAACTTACTTGAGATATGGGAGAGTCATATTCTTGATGAGAGATGGATTTCTCGATACAAATTCTTTCCACTCGTCTGGGTCTATCCTTCCATCACCTTTCGTATCTGCATCAGAGAATGTCTGCAGAAAAAGAAGAAAAAAATTATGTAAATTAAATAAAAAAAAACCAAAAAAAATGTTATTTTATATATGTATGTATACATATCTTCACCTTGTCCACAATCATTTCTACAAAGTCCTCTGAAAGTACTAGGTCTGATTCGTGTAATAGTGCCAATACCATCTCTCTCAACTGCCAAAAATTTTGAGTTGAATTTTTAAAAAAATCTACTTCAAAAAACAGGGCTAATGCAATTTCACAGAGGTATTAAGATTCAACTAAAACATTTTTTTACCTCTTCCCTCTCAATGTAACCTGTGTTCCTTAGATCGTAGAGTCTAAATGCAACTGCCAAAACCAATGCTTAGTTAGAGACGAAAATAAAATAAAAAGGCCATTTATGCAGGTCATTACAAAAAATGTCATTACAAAGTAAATATAATAATTCATACATGCAACTTTGTCAGAAACTGGTGCATTAGGGTGAAATACACCTAAAGATCGGACAAATTCTCCAAATTCGATCACTTCATTGCGTTTATAGTCAAACAAATCAAATATCTGCATAGAGATACATATGCTGTTAACAGAGTGTATGCATAATGATTACAAACATAAGAAAAGTGAAAATAACCGGAAATTTAAACTAAAGTCACATTAGCCTACCCTGTCTGAGAACAGATTTCTCCGGTTTCTGTTCCTAAAGAGTGCTAGCTGGAATTCTTCCTGATAAATTGCACAAAAATTACTATCAATAATTGGAAAACTTCCTAACTTTATCGACAAGCCATTAAATCAATTAATAGTAAGTGCAACATTATATTCCAAGTGAATTTAAAGAAAGAAAAGAAAAAAAAAGGACCTTGTGAATGAGGCCGTCGTCTATTATGGAGCTGCTTATCTTCTTAAAAAGTTCGTACAAAGCTTCTACTTCACTCACTGTGACTGCAACACATAGAATCATATCAATCAGTTTCTTGCATTAAATCATTAAAAAAATCAACTAATTTGAAGTGTTATGAGGTGCATACTCACAAGGTGTCTCGGCAGCAAGAATGGTGGGGTCCTCATAACCAGGGGTATGTTTAGTTATTTTGGAGTGAAAGCAGCCCATTAGAGCAGCATAGACAATCGATTTCTTTACGGTCGTAAAAGCTCATGCTAGTGGAAATTCTCGAGATATTATCACCTGTCAAATTGAATCAAACCAACTCAAATAAATTTCCCATAAGTTTGTAGGATCAATTTAAACTGAGATACCTTATCATAAATCCAACGAGAGGCAAAATTCATGGAAATAACAGCACACAGATGATTTTCTAAAATTCCGAGCGAAACAAATTAAGAAACAACTACAGAATCCCACTCTCAATCTTACATACGTTGTAATCAATATAAATAATTAAATCATATGTAGAGCTAGGAGAGTTTTGCTTACACATGATAAGAGTATTAGTTAAAGAACATCTATAGATGTAACTCAATAAACCGACGAATTAACTAAAATATGAAGGAGGGAGCTACCTCAAACCAACTCGGAGTTGTAGTAAAAAAAACGTACCAGGTACCGAAGGATGCAACCTCGTTAAATTTAAAGACATGTAGCTTAGGGCAACCAATTTAAAAGAGGAGAAGAAATAATCATTCATGAAAGCAACAGTTATTGTGACATAAAATTTTGATACTGGGGCACCACACATGGGACCAAGCTTTTATTAGCAAGTCATATTCATGTCACCATAATCGGCATCACATTGAAAGAAAATTACAAACTAATCTGTGACTTTCCACAATCAGCCAATAAATTTTTTTTTAAAAAAAAAAAATATTAAAAACATTAATTAATAATCATTTAAAAGTCTAAACAAAATTATAAATTTCAAAAAAGAGCATGGATAAGCAAATCTAGACCTTTCCTCATCGGTTACATCGATCAGAAGAAATATCACACAATAAAAAACCTTTACATAAAGCCAAAAGCCAAAAACACCATTAAATTATTAAATAGTACTCAAACAGATATATTTTTTATTTTTTTAATTTTTTTAATTTTGGGGTTATTATTAAACTTAATTGGAAACTCAAATCGCTACTCCAGAATATTCGATTCCGGAATTTGATTAATGGTGGGAAACAGGACTCATGCATTAACGGAAACAGAAATTGACTCTGGCCTCGTTCGGAAATACAAAAAAAAATTATTTAAATTCAATTCGATGGCCAAATCGAAGAACAGATGGAAAAATGAAGAACAAATTCGAAAATGCGAATTTACGTAAAACAGAAACGAAATAAATCAAATAAAAAATATATTATTTCATCTGCAAAAGAAAAGAAAGCAGATAGTAGCCACGAAAAAATCAAATGAAGAAAAAGAAGAGAGAGAGAGATAAGAGCTGACCCGTGAGGAGCAGGATTTTGGGAAGGCTGCTGGGATTTTTTTGCTCCTTGGTTATAATTTGTGCATGTATCTTCTTCATATATATATATATATATATAAATAAAATAATTAAAATTAAATAAATAGTCCTTCTTTATATTTTTTTTGACCCACCAGTCCTTCTTTATATATATATTATTTTATTTTAAATTTTCAGGTGAAATAAAGGTTATTAACTATGGGGTTATAGACTTCTCGCTTTCTGCTTTGCCTATTGAGAGTATTGGCAAATGCTATTTCAAATGCCCTTCTTTTTTCTTTTTCTTTTTTTCTTTTTCTCTCATTTTAATTATATCCTACTACATTATTGATCCTGGTGTATTCCCATTGTTTTGTATATAAATATTTTAAAAAAATTAAAAAAAATCATGTGTATATAAATAATTGGTGACGCATGCAAAGCCATAATTAAAAGCTGTACAAAATGTTCTACTACTATCGACATCCACATTTAAGCCATGAAAGGCTCTTCTCAAATCTTAAAAAAAAAAAAAAAAAATCGAATTTAAACTACCGACATGAGCTAGCTACCATTGATTCGAAATCATCTACGAAATTAATATAGTTAGGTGTAAAAAACAAATTAAAGTAAGTACATATATATATGGTATAAATTAAAAGTATTTAATGATGGTTTTGGAGTAAGAAACTAAATAAAAAGAAAATGATAAGTAGATGAGCCATCCATTTTTTGCAGGGAATTGATAAGGACTAGAGATATACATAATAATACATATATATATATATATATATATGTTGACTTATAAATAAATTTGAGAGAGACGTGCTGCTACGCATCTCCTTTTAAATAAATAATTGTTTGATGCAAATCACATGCCCATGCGTGTGGGGAGTTCAGTGCAATCATCAATTTTCCAGTTGTAACCCAATTTTGTTTCCTTAATTTTTTTTATATTTTCAATTAATATATATGTTTTTTTAATTGTGCATGTAATATATGTATAATTCTTATGAGTGCGACAAGTTTGGTCACGCGAATAAATAAGTTATTATATGTTGCAGCTGAAGCCTAACTTTTAAATATATTTGAGTCCTGGTCAACAATGTCTAGTGTCTACATCCTTAATGCAAGTGTTGATGTTAGGTTTTTAATTTTTAATTAGTCAGAGACTGCTAATTTATTTTTAATTTAATAATTGAAAAAATCGTAATAAAAAAGATTTGAATTTAGGGATTGAAATAATTGACATGGGCCGAAAAAAGAATGGGCTCCGTCTGTAACCAATTATTTGTTGGGCTACCTTATTTTAGCCCAATTTAACTATAGAAATAATAATTTGGGGATTTATCAACAAAATTAATAAAAATGCAATTTAAACCTCAAAAACCCTTACTTTTCTCTTTCACACAGTAAAAAAAAAAAACTCACATCAATGGCGCTTTCCAAGCTCTCATTTCTCAACCACCTCGCCAAAACCCTAACGAAACCCCACCGTTTCCAGTCCCACGCGCCACCATCCACCTTCATCCCCGTCCGCCTCTTCTCCTTCGCTACCCCGGAGGAGGCCGCCGCCGAGCGCCGAAAACGCAAACGCCGCCTCCGCATCGAGCCCCCGCTCTCCGCCCTTCGCCACAACCAACACCAACAGCAGCAACAACAGCCACCCCGTCCTTCTCCATCCTCGGCCCCGCAAAACCCTAACGCCCCCAAAATTCCCGAACCCGTCTCCGCACTCTCCGGCAACCGCCTCAATCTCCACAACCGCATACTCAAGCTCATCCGCGAGAATGATCTCGAAGAGGCGGCGCTCCTCACGCGCCACTCCATTTACTCCAATTGCCGCCCCACCATCTACACCTGCAATGCAGTTATGGCCGCGCAGCTACGGCAATCCAAATACGCCGAGCTCCTCTCCCTCCACAGGTTCATCACACAAGCCGGCGTTGCTGCCAATGTCGTAACCCACAATCTCCTCCTCACTGTTTATCTCGATTGCCGGAAAACGGATTTAGCCCTAGAGCAATACAAGCAGCTAATTAGCGATGCCCCCTTTAACCCCTCCCCCACTACTTACCGCATCCTAATTAAAGGGTTAGTCGATAATCAGCAAATTGAAAAAGCCCTCGAACTTAAGGAGGAGATGGCGACAAAGGGTTTCAAACCAGATCCCACAATCTATTCATATTTGATGTTGGGGCAAGCAAAGAATTCGAATGCTGAAGGAATTTTTGAGCTGTATGAGGAATTGAAGGAGAAAATGGGGACCGAAGATATTTTAGATGGGGTGATTTATGGGAATTTGATGAAAGGGTATTTCTTGAAAGGAATGGAAACAGAGGCAATGGAGTTGTATAATAAGGTTCTCGGTGAAGGTTCGAACATTAGCATGAGTGCTGTTGCATATAACTATGTCTTAGAGGCATTGAGCAAGAATGGCAAGTTTGAGGAGGCGTTGAATTTGTTTGAGAGGATTAAAAACGAGCACGACCCTCCCAAGAAATTGAGTGTGAATTTGGGGAGTTATAATATTGTAGTAGATGGGTATTGTGCGAATAAGAAATTCAGCGATGCCATTGAAGTATTCAATAGTATGGGTGATAAAAGGTGCAGTCCCGATACTTTATCGTACAACGTGTTGATTGATCAGTTATGCAACAACGACAAGTTGGCTGAGGCAGAGGAGCTCTACAAGGGGATGGCTGATAAGAAGGTAAGTCCAGACGAGTACACCTTTGTAACCCTAATGGATGCTTGCTTTAAGGAGAATAGGCCAGATGATGCAGCTCAATACTTTAGGACAATGGTCGAGTCCAAGTTGAGGCCAAACTTAGGTGTCTATAACAGGGCGGTGGAGGGTTTGGTTAAAGTTGGAAAAGTTGACGAGGCAAAGTCATTCTTTGATTTGATGGTGCCGAAGCTAAGGATGAATGATGATGCGTACAAGTTTATAATGAGTGCATTGTTTGAGAATGGAAAACACGATGAAGTGATGAAGATTGTTGATGGTATGTTGAGGGAGGATCCAAACGACTTCACCGATGAGGTGGAGGAATTTGTTAGAGAAGGGCTGAGGAAGGTAGGGAGAGAAGACGAGGTCACGAATCTTAAACTGGATATAGAGAGAGAAAAAGCAGAAGCTGCTGCTAAAGTTGCTGAAGAAGCGGAGAGAGCTAAGGCCAGTGCTAGGGCTGCAGTTGCTTCTCTTTTGCCATCGAAGCTTTTGGGGAACAAAGATAGTGAGATTAAGGATGGTGAAGAGGAGTCAGTGGAGGCTGCCATCGGTGATGATGTAGCAGAAGAAGAATCGCTGGAGAAGGCGACGGTGTAAGTTACGCAGGTAAACAACACATCTTGATTTGGCTTTAGTACTCGATAGCAAATTCTTGCACAGAAGGATAATTATTATTTGTTTCTCCTTTGTAGTCTTTGATGATGTGCAGCCACTTGATGTGTACTTTTTTCGATTATGTTATGAATGCGGTTTCAAGTCTTGGAATGAAGAGAATAATCTGTTTCGAACTTTCTTGATTATGTTTTTATTAACTTGGTTGGTTAGTGGTGTTGCTCATGAAATAAAAAAGAAAAAGAAAAAGATAAAGAAAAAGCATTTGATATGGTAAAAATGCAGAATTTCGATTACATACACAAACACGCACAAATCGAAGAAGTTGAAAAAAAAAATGTCGAAAAAAATGAACTTGTGTTAACTACAAAGATTTGGTATGCAGACACCGGTATCTGGATTCTGTTGTTCTTTCCAGATTCTTCCGGTGACTCGTAGCTTGAGCTCTTTCCGATCACCGCCAGAGAAGAAAAGGGCCATGTTTCTTTGGATAATAAGACCATCATGGCTATCTCTCACTTTCCGGTGGCTATCTCTAACGCTCCGTGGGGTACCTTCCCATATAAGTTTTCTCCCATTTGCTCCTACCTCTAAACTGTAGCTGTAGTTTCTTGCTTCACTTTCATCCCCCATAAATCGAAGAAACGCCATGTATACTGGGGCTGCTCCTAGCTGAAATGCTTCAAAGTGTAGACAGAAATATTGCCCAAAACAATGGAATACCTATTCATTCAGATAAACAAAAACTTTAGCAGAAAACAAGGTTTGTCCAAGAACATGTAATAATAATAAGAAGAAAAAAAAAAACTCACGGTTAACATCCAAGTTGCGTTTTCAACTTCACGTGGATTCGACTTAACATAGCGGTGATTGAAGGTGCAGCCACTGTGCATGTCGACTTTGTGGTCGTCTCTCAAGTGGGAAACGAGAAAAGGAATATCCCCGGTGACTACACATTCTGATCCAGCGTAGGGACAGCTGTACGGTCTGAAATCGCAGACGGCTTCGTGTTTGAGTTTGCTGTAATAAGGGAATATATCGGGGCAGCCCAAAGAGTAGTACTTGCAGGGCAGGTCTAACGACTCGGCAACCTTCTCTAGGGCTAAACACCTGATATCTCCAAGCTCTTTTCTGCAAGTGGGGCATCTATATGCACCCTTTGTCTTGCATGTCGAACACAGTGTATTCCCCGTTGTGACACTGCATTATAAAGATGAAAAATCGATCAACATTCGTACATTCAAATTTACCATCCAATATATATCCAATCATGATCTCCTATTTTTCATATCTCCGATTCACATTTCGACCTAACGAGCCCCTTCAAAGCACTGAAATTAACGATTCGATTATGAAAAGGAAACTCGTATATGATGAGATTACTATTCAATCTACAAAGACTACAAAACTCAATAACAATTCTATTCATTCTAGAGAGAGAGAGAGAGAGAGAGAGAGAGAGAGAGAGAGAGAGAGAGAGAGAGAGAGAGAGCAAACCTGATGGATAGGAGGGTACATAGAATTAGTGCAAACAGGGCATTCCAGTAATTCATGGACGCTTGTGGGGGCAATTCCAGATGCTACTTTGTTATTATTATTATTAATAAGAGGTTTAGAAGAATAGTGATGAGATGAATGGATCTCTTCTTCTTCTTCTTCGATTCCATCTGACATAATAGATACACACTCCACGCTTTCTATTTCAATCGCTGCTGCCATTTTTTAGGGAAGAAGAAAAATAAATGATTCGAATTTTTTTTTTTTCCTTCTCCCCCAAAAAAAAAAAAAATCTTATAGAATTCCAATCTCAATAGCCCACTTATAGAAATTTAAGCATTTGAAGGAAAATCAGATTCCCCACTTTGAATGTCTGATATTTTTATGCCCAGAAATCTGAGATGCCCACTTCCAATAATGCAATATCTCTTCCAATTTCCCCTTCTTCGAATTATTATTTAATAATCCCTGTGTTGTGTAGGGATTAATTAAGTGAGAGAAAATGGAGGAGGAGGAGGAGAAGAAGAAAGAACAGAGCGACAGATCGATTTGAAAAAGCAGCTTCTTTTTCTCTTCCCTCTTGCCCGGTTTAGAGAGAGGAGAGAGAAACGTGGACCACCGTTTCTTTTTTTTAAATAATTTAATTATATGAAGCTAATCCCACGGTTTTCAATTCATTATTGTTTTGCTTGCTTGTCAACAGTTGCCAATTGTTGGTTAATATTTAAGAAAAATCCAAATTTAAATTCTTTTTTATTTATTTATTTATTTAGTGAACGTAATTAAATTGTTATTATTATTATTTTTTTTTATTATTATTATTATTATTATTATTATTATTATTATTATTATTATTATTATTATTATTATTATTATTATTATTATTATTATTATTATTATTATTATTATTATTATTATTTATCATAGTATATATAATTCAATTTTCGAAGTGTTTGTTTTTTTAGTAAGAAAGGCGGGAAAGAGCAAATAGAAATAAGACAATGATCAATAATTAAATTCAGATTTTTTGTAGGAAAAAATTGAATTGTGAAAATAAAAACGAAAACAGAGAATTATTCAAAAATAAAAAATAAAAAAATTAATACTGTGGCATTCAAAGTAATTCGAATATATATATATATTGAAATTATAAGTAGCTGAGATTTGGTTGGACCAACTAAACAGCCTAACAAGAATTATTGGTAGATGTCTCAATCGCAAAAAAAACCTTAAAAAAATATTTGGGGTGATGTCTAAGTAAGCATTACTATGTAATTAAATTAAAATAAAATTAAAAATTAAAAATTAAAAATGCTGCAATTGAAATGATATGAAAAAAATAATGAAAGGTTGGTGAAGCATATTTTTTCATGTAATTTTTCTGAAAACTTGTTATTAATTATAAATTAATCTAATTTTCAGACTGAATTTTGTGAACCGTTGGATGAGCACATGATAACGTCATCAAGTGATAAAAATTAAAAATTAAAAATTAAAAATCCATTTACAGGAGTATAAAAATAAAAATAAAATTACAACAAAATTAGTAACAACATAAGAGAGCTTCTAAATCTGGTAAAATAATGTGACCTTATTTATTATTAGTACCTGTACATATATCCGAACAATGGAACTCTACAACGCAACAATAGACGGAAACTCTTGTTCGACCTCGTTTTCCACTTCCGACCCTTCTGAAGACGACACCTGTAACACGTAGATGAAACCATAACTAACACACACACACACACACACACACACACACACACACACACACACACACACACACACACACACACACACACACACAGATACACACATAAACGCACACACACGTACCTGAGAATCGTTCGCTTTATTTTGGGAAAAATAACGGTCCAATGCTCCCTTGCCGTAGAGAATCTTGGCCCCACAACCACGACCCTCGGATCCAACGGAATCTTTATCGACTATTACTGCATCTATTATATCATCGCCGGTTCTCTCGTCAGGAATCTGCATATTAAACAATTCATATTTTATTTATTTTGTTTCTGCAGGAAAAAAAATTGTTTTTAAGGAATGAATCACAAACCTCGTACATAGCGTCCATCAGAACATTTTCCAGCATGGACCTTAAACCACGAGCCCCGGTGTTTTTAGTTATTGCTTTCCTAGCAATTAGTCTTAGTGCATCTTCTGTGAAATGCAACTTCACCTGAGAAACACGAGAAACGTGTATCGAAACTAATTAATTGAGATTATCGACGGAACGAATACTAAAATAGCGGAAAGAGGAATGACGATAACTTACTCCATTCATTTGGAACATTTTTCTGTACTGCTTCCCTAATGCATTTTTAGGCTCTGTTAAAACCTGTTCAACGAATCCGACAGCCACGTTAACGAAACTATTTCTCGACTTCTTATGTCGGATGAACACATTTGCGACTCTCTTAACAAAAAAAAAAAAACAAAAAAATGATAGCCACCTGAACAAGCTGTTCCTCTGTAAGAGCTGACAAGTTAACTAGCACAGGGAATCGTCCAACGAACTCGGGTATCAGACCATAAGCAATTAAATCACTACTTTCAACCTGCAAAAAAGAATTTATTTTTTATTATTATTATTTTTTTTTGTGAAATTGGCTTTACAATCACATGCATATGTTTGGAATATCAGATTCGATGTTAATTATTAAATCAATAGTTTCCTTACAGTTTCGAGTAATGATGATGTCACAGCAGCACTTGTAACACCGCCCATTCTCATGTTTGCGCGTACAGGAGCACCAAAGCCAATCGAAGAATCATGACGCCTGAAACAAATGTTTTTCCGACTTTTTTTAATTTCAAGAATATATAAATACACCAAACACAATTAATATATTTTAATTCCTAAAGTTATGTACGACCTTTCCGAGATTGTTTTTTCCAAATCAATAAAAGCACCACCACATATAAACAGAATGTCTTTCGTGTCAATCTGCAGAGAGTCAGAGACGCAGCTTAAATCAAAATTTAATTATCCAAAACAATCTCGATTAAACAAAGAAATTCTGGATAAATTATATAATATAGTTAAATTAATTATTACCTGGATATTGTCACCTCTAGGATGCTTTCGAGCGCCTTTTTCTGGTACGTTGACCACCTGAGGGAGAAAAAAGGATCGATAATCAGAATCTAGCTACAAAATGCACGAGCTTAAATTAAATTAGTCGTTTTTTTTTTCATGAAATTAAAAATAAATTGAAAAATCTTACAGTTCCTTCGAGCATTTTCAACAGTGCTTGTTGGACGCCTTCCCCCGAGACATCTCTACTAATGTTCATGCTCTCTGCCTACGAGGTGGTCAACGAAGAACAAGACCATTAGAAACGAATTATAATACTGCAAGACTGCAAATGACAATCTTGGTAAATTAACTAGTTTTTTGGCAGGACAAAACGAGACACCTTTTTCGTGATTTTATCAACTTCATCAATATAAATTATGCCTTGCTGAGCTGCCACCACATTATAGTCTGCCACCTGGAAAATAAATAATAATACAAACGGACCAATTACGCAGTAATCTTTTGTGGCAAACGGGATAGCACTTCTACGTAAATCATCACAAACTTAAGTTATGTTGAGCTGACCGTAAGCAGCTTGTACAAAATGGACTCAACATCTTCTCCAACATATCCTGCCTGCAAAACAAGATTTTTGTTTTTCTATTAAATTTGTCGAGATTATCAATTTGCTATGTCGTATAATTATAACGAGAAGAGCTTGTTCATCGCAATATTTACGACGATAATCGAAATTCAGAAGAGTAGCATTCTGTATCATGTACAACGATAGAAACACTTGCCTGAGTAAGTGTAGTTGCATCAGCTATTACGAAAGGAACATTTACCAACCGTGCCAAAGTTTTCGCGAGTAATGTCTTCCCTGTTCTTAATATGACATCGAAGAAACATAGTGAAACAGTATACAGAATATACAAAATTGCACTTAATTCAAATTAGATGCTTAAAATCATCAAGAACCATAGAAACAAAATAAAGCCTATCTAAGAACACCGACGAAACTAAATAAAAGCCTCAAAATTAAATCCTTCCAAAACAAAAGTTGTATAATATTTTCTCATTATTGAAAATAACACGTAACATAGAAACCAGTCACGAAGTAATTTACCTGAACCTGTGGGCCCCATAAGAAGAATGTTACTTTTCTCAAGTTCGACATTTTCATCATCTGCACCCTCGGTTTTGCCGCCATCTGCAGGCCTAACTTTTCAAGATATAGCAATATTATTATACATACTTATCTCAACAATGACTTGTTAACAAAGTGAAAAACCAGTTAGCCAACACTGGCAAAAGATTCTCTATTCAAGAAACAACGAAAATCGGATTAACGTCTACAGAACCGTGACACAAAGCTCTATCCCAATACCAAAAGAAAAAATTAATCACCTCTGCGAAGAATCGCTATATATTCTCTTGTAATGATTATAAACAGCTACAGAAAGAACCTGAAATAATGAAAAAAATCAATGAATTTTAACGAATCGACAATATTGAATTAAAAATTTACAAAAAAGATAAAAAGAAAAAAAATGAACCTTTTTAGCTCTCTCCTGACCAATGACAAACTTATCAAGCCCTTTACAAATTTCCTTTGGAGTCGGAAAATCTGGACCTAGATTCGAACCGCCCCAGCTTCCATCTTTCTGGCCCGACCCGAATCCACCACCGGAGCCCGAATTGGAACCGTCACCTTCACCGACATGAATAAATTTAACCCCCGGCCGGACCATAATTCCGTCGCCCCCACCCCCAGGTGGCTGCCATACCTCAGGTGGGTCCCCCTGAGAGCTAGAATTCTCGATTATCCTCTTATTCCTGAAGAAATTAGGGAAGTTTTTGCCGCTGTCGATGTAATCGCCGCGCGGAGAGGGGGGCTTGAATGGAGTCATATTGAATGGGGGGTTTGAGATGAAACTCGAATTGCTTCGGTAGCTGCTATTGTCGAATCCGGAGCTCCACTGGAAATGGTTGACCCGACCCGCGTGCAAATGGTTCTGAATGAAGTATCTGAACTGTGAGATGGCAACTGAGGTTCTATCTCTCGATGATTTTGACCGCAAAACAGCTGCCATCGAATCTAACAAGAAAAATATTACAAAGTAATAATCAAGAAAAAAAAAGGCGATGTCTGGGTATTGATTAGATTATGAAGAGATGATGATTTGAGTTGGAGAGTGAAAATTGAGAAATGGGTTTGGGAGAAAAGGGGGGAAACAAGAGTGGGTTCCGCACAGATTCTTCTAAATTAGGGATTTTGTTTTCAATGTGATTCGATAGTAATTAAATTTAGGGAAAATGCAGTAAAGATTGGATTTTTAAGGCCAGGATCAGAATTGGGGAAACTAAAAGAAAGACAGGGGGAGTTAATTGAGATGAGATTTTGATTGAATTGTCGATATCATGGAATATTTCTTGGAATTCTGTAATTAAAAAAAAAATAAAAATAAAAATAATAAATTGGGTTAATTTGAGAAAATGGGAACACAGATGTACGACGTCGTTTTGTCTGTACAATTTCTGAATGACAATGTCACAGCAAATGCACTGTCAAGTGTCAATAATACTGCAATAACTAGACCAAAGAAGAAAAGAAAAAAGAAAAAAAAAAGCACATAAAAATACCCAAATTGGCCTTATAAGCTCAAGAAATATCCAAATTACAACAGGATAATGTTACAAGGGAAATACATTTGTACACTTGCACTTTGTATGTAAAGGTACAATCAACTACAGCACAAACAATTTTATGCATCTAACTATCAACATAAGTAACTAACTTCTACTTATCAACAGGTGTGTGCTAATTCAGTGCAGCCTAAAAATCAATAAATAGCAGTTAAATGTTGTCAATTGCTATTGCTATTGTTACATTATTTCTACTTATCATCGTCTTGCAGCTCTCTCTGCAACGGCTTCCCCTGAATGCCGGGCTGTACGAAGAAAAAAACAAAAAAACAATTAAATTAAAATCCAGAGTAAATAAATTAAGCGAAAAAATCGAGTGAAATTTGTGTGCCGTATTAGCTAGTTCATTTAACAGGAAATGAAGAAATCTTACTTGCATTACTTGATTTGGAGCTCAGACTTCTGGCTTCATAAATAGCTGAACTTGCAGCAAACACAGCCAACTTCTTCACCTGCAAACGGATCGAGATTTTATTTAACTTGAGCAAAAAATTAACACATGAACAAATCACTAAGTGGGTTATATTTATAATGTGGGTAAAACGATAATTTGCCAATTTTATTACGAGATAATAGATATCGAAATTTTGGGTCTAATGCAAGATTCATTCATAGATAAAGTTGCATAAAGAAGTTGAAAATACCTCCAATATATCTTGCTTGTATTTATGTAAAGGAGGAAGCAACCGGAATTCTTGAGTTAATCGGCTGCATTCTTGGACATTATCTGGGGACACAAAGTCCAGTGCAACTTTTGTGCAAGACTGATTAAAGACAGAATATCCGTAATATTAGCAGGATGTATAAATTCAACAGAAAATAAAAATCGAAAAAAAAATGAAAAAAAAAAATCGAAAAAAATCACCTGTCTGTTTCTCACTTGATGAGGGCAGCCAGCAGGAATGAACACTGCCTCACCAAGATGCTGCTCGAATGTCCAAGCTTCGACATCTAATTTAAAGGAAACAATATTTTTTTGGTTAATTTTACTTCTTGTAGGATAAACTCGAGACGCAATAATTATGCAAGAAAACGAATCTTACTGTATTCTTCCTTCAGCTTTCGTTTGTGCTCCTCGTCCAAATAAAAAGTCTGGTCATGTATTGGATGAACAACCTAAGAAAAAATAAAAGAATAGCCAAATCAAAATCATATCTTTTTCGATCAATTAGTATTTTCATTGAGAAGCATATGTACTTACAGAAGCCACCGGAGAACTCTTGTAGTGGTCAAATTCTTTATAATGCCGCCGCAAGTATTCGTTTATCTTCGGAACATCCTCCCTACGAAAGATGTCCCATAAAGCAGCACCGTATTTTTTTGCACATTTCTGAAGAACATCTGCTGGTTTTTTCCCACGTGAAGTGCGCAACGTATGCACCGCAGCTGCGTGCGTCATTATATTCACCTGTTAAAACACGTATCGAACACTTATCATATTTCCATAAATAGCATGAACTGCGACGCGACGTTATTAAATAGAAAAAAAAAACAGGGGGGTTTTGTGGAAGCATACCGCATCAGAAATGTCACAGTGCAGTTTTGTGACCGAATCGCCTTTTCCGAGTTCTACTGGATAACCATAGGCGATATAGGATTTAGGCCCTAAATCTGGCTTTAAAGCACCGACGGGAAGTTTCGTCGCGAGATTCAAAAGACCAGACCTAGGATGCGTGTAATCGCGGAACGGAAGCATAGACATAAACTCCGAACCATGCCTAGGTAATGATTCTTCGAAATAACTCGTCGACGGCCAATCCTTTAGTTTCAACATCTCTGGCCATCCATCTTCGTGCTTACGCCCTTCTAAGTAGCCTCGGAAAAACTGGTCAATATCGATCTCAACCTGTAATATAAAGAACAAAAATTTGTCAGAACATATGATATCTACTTTGTTAAGAGACTGTGTGCATTATCGAAGAGCACAGAAACTGCACACAATCTGAACAAACTATGTGCATTATCGAAGAGCACAGAAACTGCACACAATCTGAACAAGTACCTCACACCAGTCGAGACAATCAATCGCCTTCACACAGTTTCTGCTCGCATTTCTGAAAGCCCTCAGCATAACCATCGGCTCCCAACTAAGACCAGACGACATTGCGAGAGAATTTCGAACAATGACAGGTTCGCCTCTTCTCCAGTGCATCTGAAAGTGTTCGAACTCGGCATTGCCCAAATCAACAGCATCCGGACAGTACAAGAAGTTGTCTTTACTGTTCTCCCTGGACGCCGCTTGTTCTAACTTGGATGAATCGTTGCTACCACGGGAAGAAGAGGCAGCAAAACACAACGAACATTCTTTAGAAAAGTCTATATCTGGCAAGTGGTAATTCGAAGTGTAATCCTCTGCACTCTTGATTAATTTATCCACCCAATTTGCACTAAAAATGCGCTTTAATACTAAATTATCAGTTCCACAACCACCGAGCTCTTTGGGAGGACACGGTATACTCCCGTTGTTCTTAGCTTCCCATTTAGGGGGCCCACAACACATGTTGTCTGCATGCTTATTTGTTGAAGGAAGAGTAATATTCTCATCATTTGAAGAATTTCTTCTCTCCGGACTTATTTCAGCAGAATTAAGAGTAGTTTGGGCCTCGATACCTCCTGGTTGAAGACCTTTTCGGAGTTCTTTACAACAATCGAGACATATATCATAAGAACAAGCGGCATTGGAGCAGCTTCTGTGGAAGTTGACGATCGATGTTTTGCAGTTGTCACTGTTGAATAAGTATAAGTTCATTATTAATACTTAATATAGAAGATTTTGCAACCAAATGGAGAAATAGCATCCAACAATACTAGAAATGTCAACAAATTAAATTCAGTATCAAACTGAAGAAATAAATAAAAATAGGGTTTCCTCTTAAGGTCACAGAAGTTGATATAAATATAGAAAACACATATCCAAAAGAACAAGTTTCCGACTAAATGCACATATAGTAAACATGAATCCAGGACCACCCAACTTAATTCTTTAATATTTTCGAAATCCTGTAATTATTATAATATAATAGTAAATTTCTTTTAGTTCAACAAGATATTTGTTAAAAAAAAATAATCTTGATGGAAAAAGTTAATAAAAAATACAAAATGATGCGAAGCCAGTTTTTTAAAAGTTTTCTTAAGCCCTCTGAAATTTAGGAACGGCCCTCCTACTTACCACTAGCTTATGTAACTTCGGTAGATGAACATAACTGAGCAATTAATGCTTTGAAATATTTTGATTCAACGGCTATATATGAGAGGATTGGAGTTTTATATCTCCATTAATTGGGCAAAAAACTATTGCTGGAAGAACATACCAGTATACGCGATCGTCTTCTTCAACGACTGCAAGTTGCACATCCGCTTCACTCATTGGAGCACCTAAATAACGAAAGAGCAAGGACTTGTAAAATCATTACGAAAAATAATAGAAGCAAAGGGAGAGCTTCAATCCTAGTATTCAAACCTCGTAATCTGGCTTCAACATCCAGCTCAACCTTCTGCTCAAGCTGTATATGTCTAAGGAGAGGCAGAACGTTGAGTAGCAAATACAGAGATCTTTGCATTCTGATATTCTTGTCAGCCTTTTTTTGGCAGCCCTGAAAGAACCAAATTATGTCACGATGTGTAAGTGGCATATACAATATACGATCAAAAAAGTACAAGAATTACGGACAAACTGAGGTTATAAACCTTTGTGAGTACATCTGCTTGAAGGCAAGCTTTGCAGTTGCAATTTCCGGAGCAAAATGGGCAAGCTTTCTTGACTTCTTTCTTGGTCATCTTAGGATACCTATGATTTTCGCAGAGTTTCTAACCTTAGGAATATTTTGCATGAAAATAATATGACAAGTAATAATAACATAAAACGGAAAGAACATACACGTGGCTTCAAAATAACGAGGGATCAAAATAGTAACTAGCATCCTTACCATTTTTCAATGCAATTGAAGCAGTATCGTTTCCTATTGCAATTTGAGCAGACGACAACAGGTTTGTCACTTTTCAAGCACTGATGGCACATCGTCTTGTGCTGCTCCTTTGTAAGGGTGGCATCCTGCAAAAAAAAATGTGATGGAATATAAGTGTATCCGACAAAAGATAATAAACTATCATCAATAATTAGATTTCATTCAATTGCGGAATTAGAGACCCCATAGATAATTATATTGACTTCCAAAGGAGTAAATGAATAGTTAATTCTTGTCGGGATGAGGTTTATTAGGTCAAACCTCATCCACGGCAGACGTCGTTGACCAACGACTATTTTCACATACTAAACATAAACTAAAACTACTTAAATGAAGTCCCATCTAAACGAACATTTATAAGCAAAGTAAATACTGGATCTAATGAAGATGTCGTTCGTTATTCCATGCATGTTATGTTTACTCTCATACTAAATAAATAGGGATCAAACACGTGGATAAAAAAAACTCACCGCAAATCCCGATACTGATGACTTGTTCTTCTCCAAACCACGATCGGCTATTTTCTTTCCCATGCATGCAAAATCGCTGAGTTCATTTATATCGACTCCTGATCTTGCTCTATGTCCTTTTTCGGTCTTCTTCGAAACGTGATCTGAACTTGTCGATGATCGTTTTCTCATCATGTTGCCACTGCAAACATCATACCCATGCTGTTCAACTGGAAGTGTTCTCGTCTTCATTGACCCCTTCCTAACAACTGGGATATCCCGATTCGTTTCAACATCAAAGGATTTCTTCTTCGTACTGTTTGAACCTTCTGCCCAACCTTCGCGATCGTTCTTCTTATAGCTTCGATCTGCCCAGTAACCTTCATCCCAATCTTCTATTTCTTCATATTCTTGCTTTATTTGTATACCCTTCATTTGATTTGATCCGATGGGCTGCCTGCCCTTACCCTTACCCTCATCAACCGCATTTCGTCCATCGGTGCGTTCATCATCAACTCGCTCAAGGAGCTCAATATCGCCATTACCAGCATAACCTTTTACTCTCAGTTTGACGATTCTTTCTTTATTCTTGACGCCTTCGGGCTTTCCTCGAGCACCTCTCTCGTTGACACTTCTGCCAACAGGACTACCATCACTCCTTTCAGTGTTGAATGATACTTTATTTTTATTCCTTGAACCTTTTCGCTCCTCCATCTGCACTCGAGTTGCGCTTTTGACAACATTACTCCTAGAAACATCATCTTCCATACCATCAATCTCATTTAATGTGTTCTTCTTATTATTACTACTCTTTGCCGCACCGATCGGGGAAAACATCGGCACGGGAGAAACATTGACACGAGCACTTTTTTCAGCCTGAGGGACGTTCTTCTTATTCTTCGAACCCTTTGGCCTTCCTCTCCCTCGAACCTCGTGCAGTGGAGAAGCTATTACAGGGCTAGCATTACCACCGTCTAAACCAACAGATTCTCTCGTCTGAGCGATTGTTTTGTTCTTATTAGGGGAACCCTTCGGCCTTCCTCTACCACGAGCAATCTGCACAGGGACATCACTTTGATCAACATTAGCACGAGAAGCACCGCCTCTTGTGACAAATCTATTTTCAGCCTCGTCGACTGTTGTTTTCTTGTTCTTGGAACCCTTTGGCCTTCCTGGCCGGCGAACCGTCTCTACCGGACCTGGCGTTTCAATATCATCGTCTGTACTGTCACTCTCTTCGGAGTCGGAGTCGGTACTGATATCGAAATCGTGCACCAGGACATGCTTATTGCCGACGATCATAGGAATTAGTTTCGCCTTCTTCGCCACATGTTGACCACCAGCATTCTTCTTCACTGCTGCCTCGATTTCGCGCTCGAAACCATTCTTATTCCTACTCTGAGAACCCTCCGGCCTCCGTTGCTCACCATCATTTTCTCTAAAAACCTCCCTTTGCATTCTACTTTCCAAACCTTTCGGCCCCCCTCTATTCCTCAAACCACCTCCGCCACCGCCAGCAGCAACCGCCCCCCTCTCACTCCCATGGCCGTCAAAACCACTCGTGCTCTCATCATCCACACGCTTCCGCTTCCAACCGCCGCTGCTCTCACCATGATTCCCACCGTCATTTTCCTGCCTCCCAATTTTCTGCATCTTCTTCTCCTCCTCCACACTCCTTCTCTCCGACGGCTGATGTTTCTCGCACATGGTTTTTCCCCTCATAGCCATCAAATTGCACCTCCACATTCCGCCGTGAACAACTTTCTGGCATATGAAATCACCAGCGCCGCCAACCGCCGCCGCCGCTTCCATGATCCTGGACTTTTTTTTTTTTTTGTTGCGAAGAAAAAACTGAAACCCTAAACCTAGAGAGAGAAAAAGAAAGGAGTTTCACCGATAAAGCCGAATTGGGATGTGATTCATTGAGGAAATGGCGCTGCCCTTATATGCTTGCTGTAGAATTAAATGCTTTTCACCAAAAAATGACAATAATGCAGTAGCTGTAATATGGAACATTGTAGTAACTCTGTATACTGAATTCGCGCCCGAGATTTCAAAAGCACGAAATAATTGCTTTGTATTTTCTCTCGGAAGCACACAGGAATACCATTGTCTGGTTTTTTTTTAGGGAGGTTGCCATTTGTCAGCACTAACCAGACATTTTGTGTTCAGTTGTTTCGGAAACCGCTTCTGAAAACGCGACTATAACTGGAATTGGAGTAAACTGGAGAGAAATAAACTGGAGAGAACCGTTGGTCAAAAAGTCAAAACAATGTGACGATTCAGTTTTTTTGTTCGTACGACGTGGGATAAGATGGAATATTCGAAAAAGTGGATTAACTTGCCATTAATTATTATTGCCATCTTAATTCTATGGAAAAATAAATAAAAAAATCTTATTTTTTATTTAATTTTTACAAACCGGGTCCGAATCTTACTTGCGGGGAGACGTGTCCAAACTGGATTTTTTTAATTTTTTTATAATAAAAAATGTCAATAAAGAAAAAAAAAATCAAGTTTAATCGATTCAAATCTTTGTATAAAACTTAAATGTAAAAAAGTTGATTAAATTTTACGATCTACGATTTTTTTAAATTAAATTTCATTATATTTTATGATACCACAAGAAAATTTAAATAAATAATTAGAATCCTACTGTAAAAAAAATAATAATAAACCCACAAGAAACCAGCAATCTCATCTGACCATTAAATTCATAAAAAAAAAATAAAAAAAAGGAGCAAAAGGTTTCATAAGCAGGTACACACTTACAACTGACAATACTTTCTACAGTAATAAGCACGGTTCTTGGGAAACTATATAACTGTAACGTTTAAGTAAGATATTTGATGTTCGTTAATGATGTCCGTTAACTAACTTTTTAATACTGCTGTTGATGTTCGTTAACTAACTTTCTATATGCGAACTCTTCACTAGCCGATGATTAATGGATTCTTCAATTTTCACTGCAGTTAGTAGTCGAGCAGTTGCTTCCACGAAATCATCTAGGGGTCGATGCGTTTCCCATGTGATACTGAAGATAATTACATCAAGGGTCACATTATTAATCATTAGTCACCAAAAAATTAAAATCAAGATTACGTGAGAGAAACTAATGAAAAAAACACACTTTTTTTCAAGAAGATTGTTAACTAGTGAGAGAGCCACATTTGTAACACAAGTGGGGCTTGAATCGGTTTTTGTGGATGAACAAAATCAGTATGTATAAAAGCCATGAAAATTGGGGCGCATTTTTTGATTTTTGCATGCAGTAAACCATCGTTGTAAAATGCACGAGACCTAATTTATTGAATTTTTTCTTCAGACTACATGAAAACGAGGCTCTTTTTTGGAAAGATTGATGAACAAGTAATTGAAGAATCACCTGTGCTGTGAGCGGCGAGCTTTCAGCGAGAAACTTGACAAATTCTCTCTTCTTTGTTTCATAGTTAAATATTACACGATCTAGCAGTGTTTGCTCTCTCTGCATATCTTCACTGGTTCGATCCTTCTTCCATTTTGTCTCCTTTAATCGACCTTCTATCTCGAAATAGCTAGCTGGGAGCATCAAGGGTTTAGAGCCAATGGGGAACTTCACACGTATATCTTCCCTAACATGGCCAAAAAATTTCAAGTGTAAATTATTAATTAAAACCACGAGCGAAAGAGAGAAAATAAAGTGGATGTTAGATATTTAAATCTGTAATAAATGGATAAAATTCTCACCGGTGGTGACCCATAGAGAATATCCCAGGACCTCTGATTACTCCTCCGTCTAGAGAGATAGCTCCATTGGGTATACAAGGCAGTGCCTTTAGCATGTCATCTCTAGTTTTGTACACCTGAGTATTCGAGAAGAGGTAATAGAACAGTGTCTCTCTTAGACTGTACCCAGTTTTTGAATTACAAAATAAGTTAGTGTTGTCAATGGTGATCATATTCACAGCAAAACCGAGAAATCCAGGAGGAGTTTCTCCATTGATTAATCTTGGCTTCAGAAGATCAAGCCTTCGTTGAGGGTCATCACCTATTAATTGACCAGAATATGGTCTTGCCAAAAAAAAAAAAGAACGTAAGATAGGATTGTGGTGGATAGCTTATTGATTAAACGGTAAAAAAATTGGTCTCGAAAAGATACCTTAGATTTTCAAGGCAAATAACAAGAAATCGGTCATCCAGAGGCCTTCCTGTAGATGCAGCCAGTGCATGAATGCCCAAACCTTTATTGATTGAACCATGTTTGGAGTATTCTTCCATGGCTCTGACACCTTCATAGGTCTTGCAGACGATTGCTAGCATGGTTTCGAGACCCAAATAGTCTGAAAGAAGGCTACGTCATACAAACAAAAAAGTCAACCATACAGGATAAGCTATTTCCGTATTATATTTTGTTTTTAACTGTAATTTCTCAAATAATGATATTCACACATTTTTTTTCAAAGTAATAAATGTGTTTCAAAAAGATCTTGTGCATGCAAATAATATCAAGCTGTGGCATATTCAGATAATAAATTCTATCAAAAAGGCACATTTATGCAGCATATAGATGATCAGATGCGCTATATTTTTAAGTTTTTCTTTAAGAAGGTAGGAAAATTAGACCAACCTGCTAAGGATAGTATCATCAACTTTGCCAAGCATAGCAACAACACCGATCACATCCTTAGTGAATGAATGATCAGAGAGCTGAACAGGGTTACTTTTCATCTTACAAAAAAGAGCAGCTGCAGAATTCTCGTACTTTAGAATATGCTGAATAGTTTCCTCCTCACTCTCCAGATAGGTAGGGTCTTCGTTTTCCCCTTTCGGGAAACCCATTCCTTGATACTTACCGATAGCAACTGTAAGGACAAGATAGAGAAAGCAAAACACATTAAAATGGTTACAAGTTTACCAGCGAACGGAGAAATAACTAGCGGCCACATAATTGAAGTATCGGCAAAGGATGCAAAGATATAGGTGTAATTACATCTTTGCAACATATATTTCAAGAAATAGCTAAGAGATTTTACATTGGCGTGAATTTTACAAAAGTTCCTTCCTATTTTGGCAATACATTGAGATTGTTGGAAAGATTAGATGGGATTTTGAAATACAGATACCTTGCATTTCAAGAATTGAGTCGTCCAGCTTGTTTTTCAAAGTCTTTAAGTATTTGAAATTGTCCTCATGGTGCTTCAGTCTCGCACCCAGTTCCTTCAGACTGTCCTGAAGTTTCTGCAATAATTACATACAAATCACGCTATTATTTTTCAGCATTAACTAAACTAAAAGAACTGGAAATAACAAGCGGTCGGTATTATTTTTTTAACCAAGTAATCAACTAACAGTGAACACAAAACGCACGATCAACAAACCTTAGAGTAGTTCACAATTGACTCAGCAGTCTGACCATGCATCCCATTTTGAGTGTCCTCCCTTGAAAAAGGAATATTTTGTCCGACGTGCTGCGATGGATCAGAGATAACCAATGCCCTTGAGTTGATTGCCAGCTGGCATACAAGAACATCCTTTAGCTTTAAGTACCAATAATACGCAAGCTCATGCATATAAGGAACATCCACAGAGTTGGCTATTGTAGAAGTTAAAAATTTCTTTTTGCAGCTAATGTAGGGCATATCTTTAGCTTATTTGGTTCCTTTGCAGACTGATCTTCAATTCTCATTAAGCTAAACAGCAGTATAATGAATTTGCATAAGATAATGCAAAGTGTAATCAATTGTTTCAAATCCATTGGGACCAGCAAGAACAGAAAAGTAAAAGTAAATAACTCGAGATGATCAACCTCATTAAATATTAATAAACTAACTAAGTTGCCGTAAATCTACCATGTACACAAATTATATGAAATAAAAAGCAAAAGGATTTGAAACAAGCCTTTCATCGACCTCATTAAATATTAAAAAAATGTACGTGATGAATTTGATTAAGTGCAATCAATTAACCCTATCGGGGTTTAAGATGGTAGTAGCTCTAACAGAAAAAAGTAAATAACCACATTCATTGACCTCATTAAATAGTAGTAAACTAACTAAATGGTCGTAGATTTAGTCGATATACCAATTACACGACATAAAAATCAATAAGCTTTTACCGGATATACACGAATATGAGCTAAGCCACGTAACAATGATTCCTACACAATTAAACCAACACAAGCTACCTAAATGCACACTAGCCACGTGTAACCACTTCCCTTGCAAGAGAAATAGGCTAATGTACAAACATTATTACAAAGCTTAAACATACATCTGTAAAAACATTACCGGATATACTAGCTACACGACGTAAAAATGATTCCTACACAGCTAAACCGAAGAAATCTACGTAAATCCACACTTGCCAGGTGTTAACCACTTTCACTTCAAGAGAAGTTGGCTACCGGTATAAACAATATTACAAGCTTAAAAATTCATTTGTAAAGTAATCAACTGGCTAAGTTCTAGAGAACTGGAAAACTCATATTGAAAAACATTTTACGCCAATCTTGAAAACAACATGTTGTGATGCAAAATTTACTAGAAAAACTTTAAAACTGGCAATGATGTTCAAAATATAATTCAAATTCCCCAGCTACAAATTTTCTCAAAAAACTTCCGACTCCATGAATGGTTTACACATAGACAAGAATTGCAAATAATTCAAACAACATCATCCGTGAAAACCAGCCGAAATTCAAGCCCCCGCATCAAATTCTATTCAACACACACAAAAACTGCATGTCTACATTCTAGGGTTTCATGAAGCCCGTCGTACATAAAAACGAATAACATGAACGGTGAACCTAAAATCCCAATTCACGAGACAAAAAAATGGCAAACAAAACCAAAAAAAAATGCAAGTCAGAAGAAGAAAATCAAACCGGGCTTAGTGCTTCGTTGTCTATAGACATTCTCCGTGGATCGCCTCCGCCTGACATCGTCGACTGTCGCGGTTGCGATGCGGTGGCGCCGCTGGGCTAGTGAGAGAATTTTCCTTTTTTGTTCTTTTTTTAAATTTTTTGTTGAGAAATTGGCCAGTGAGAGTGAGAGTCGACACAAAGCAAGAAAAAGGAAGGGGCAGTGCAGTTACAGTATAGTACTTAATGCTATAAATTAATATTTTTCCCCTTGAAACAAAATAAAATTACTAAATTGCCACTAATATTATAAAAGATTTACATTATTTTATTTTTCCATTTTTTCTGCTCATAAACCATTTTTAAACTGTTTCAAATTGCACTTATATTCTATGCTTCTATTCAAACAAACTATGGAAAAATTCAATTTTCATCACTTTTAGCGGAATCAAGCTTGTGCCCTTGAGTGCCTTAACTGACGGAATTGACCAAAAGGACAAATGGTGTTGAATTATTGAAAGATGAGGGACTAAATGTTTTTTTTTTACATAGAGGACCAAATGTGAAATCGGTGCAAAATTAAAATTGTATTTTTCCAGATAAACTATATAAACTCTTGTTTCACAAACTCGCCCAAGAGGGTAAAAAAACATTTTTACAAAAAAATCACAGAAACTAAAGTTCGTTTGCAGCACTGCAATGAATTTTGAACAAGAACAACTAGATGAAGACTACAAAACATTTCCTAAAAACACCGACGAATTTCTGCAACACAAATGAGCAGAATGTACCATGATCTAGTCCATGTGCAAAAAAGCCCAAGGCAAATAGTTAAAATGAATACTCTCTTTGTATATATATACTAAAATATGTACAACCACCGATTAGAATTGTAGCTGAATTAGCAAAGACGAGGGCATCATGCAAGCTTTTTCCGGGATAGATGATAGTTGTTATACCTATCTCTGGAAATCAAGAACTTCTCTCTTTCACTTTCCAAAAACTTGTTTCCCTCGTCTATCTGCTTACTTATCTCTATAAGCTCCAACTTCTTTGCTTCCAACAATCGTATAGCTTGTGAGCTCTGTGGAGTATTAGGCATAGCCTCGTTTTCTACTGGAAACAATATATCTGGTTCCCTGAATTCAAAAGAGCGAGGAATTAAAACAATTAAAAAAAAAAAAGTTGCCTTCAATAGTTGGATATATCAGGACTATTTAATGTGTAGAATTGGTCAAATTAGAAGAATTACTCAAAATTATGTGAAAGAAATAAACCGATGAGATTCTTGTATTCATACCAATGGCCAAGAGAGAGGAGCCCGTTTCCTCTAATGATACCTCCATCCAAAGAAACAGCTCCGTCTTGAATGCATGATCGTGCGTTCATCATGCACTCCCTATCTTTATACACTTGAAGCTCACCAAAAAGACGATAAAATAACGTCTCTCTTAAACCATGGCCGCTCGTCGTTCTCCACTGTAAATAACTTGCGTCTATGTTTATCATGTTAACTGCATACCCTAAAAAACCCTGAGGTATAATGCCATTTGGCAAGCTAGGCATCTTCAAGGGCATTAGCTCTAGGGGATCTACGCTCGGTTCTCTGATTGTTATCCTGTCATTGAAATATAATTTAAAATTAAGGAACCATACATAATTTTTGTCTCTGGATAATAAAAAAAAGAAGGGTAACTGTATCCAATACCTAATATCTTCTAGGCACAGTGCAAGATATCCTCCCCTTACATATTGTCCTAATGTAGTCTCAAGATTATAGGCTGCTGCATAATTTTTGCACACAACAGCTAACATTTTATCCTCACCAATATATTGTGCCAACATCCTACATTACGAAAGAAATATAGCTATAGTTCAATAAATCGAGGCCCAATTAAAATAGAGAGAACACAAAGTTACCTGCTAAGCTCGATGCTTTGAACTGTTCCAAGAAGTGCTACAATACCAAGTATGTCTCCAGGGCTTGATTTGAAGGATACTTCGTCCAACTTGCAGATTACTGCGGCTGGAGTTTGACATTTGCTTTCGATTTGTCTTTGAGTCAAGACTTTTCCACTCATGCTCGGCGAAATACAAAGATCACCATCAACGGAATCTGGCAAAATAAGTAAAAAGGCATGATTAACCATGGTTTGAAATAACTATTGAAGTAGTTCAATAATTTCCTGATGTGGGACTACGCACATTATGCATTTGTTGTGAAACTATAGTATCCTACGCATTCCATATTTTGTATGTTTTTCATCTATAAGAAAAAAGTTACTTGCTTAACATTATCAGTATAGACGCAGTCAGTGCATGTGGATTTATTTTTTTTCAATGACCGTTTACACCAATATTAAGATCAAACTTGAAGCGAATTTTTCGTTTGCACACCTTGATAAATACCGATCCAGACTTTGATAAAATTGATGTTTTTTCTATGAAAACAGAACTATATCTTTCCAAGTACCTTAAGGTGTATATGTAGTAGGTTATTAAGAGGTAATTCTCTGTTATGATAATGTAATTGAAGTGAAAATACGTAGATATTCTACCAGGTTTTGGATAACATAGCTGCATCAATTAAACTTTTTATGGATATCAAAAAGTTCCAATCAAGACAGGGACAAGTGTAAACAATAATAGAAATATATATTAAAAGAGATAAAGCAGAAAACCTTGTAAATCTGATATGTTTCTCTGAATATGTAACCAACGAAAGTGTAGCATCTCTAATTTCCTCTCATGATCATTTATTGTCATGCCGCAGTTTGCAAGATCGTCTTCTAGCTCCTGCGAGGAAAAAACTTTCTCAGAAATAGGAAATGCATCATAAATACCCCCATAACAAAGAAAGATACTACTCTAATTATTAAGATCCAGTGATCATTTATATCTACCATATAGACTGAGAACCATTTATAAACTAGGCAGATGATCTTTGAGCTTTTAATTTACAGGGATAATTATGTAGGCGAACTTTGCATTCAATGGTTGTAAATCAATAATAATTGTGACTACCAGTTTACCTTCGGGCATATAAACGCAAAACCAGCCGAATTTGCTACATCTTGAGGAGCTGAGACCTCAATTGGCAATATATCTGAAATTTCATTTCGAAGATTGCCACGGTCAAATCTAGGATTTTGTAAAGGTGAGAAATTGATGGGCAATACATATTTGTTCGAACTTTCCGGTGAAGAATCTCTATGTGTAAAGGATGAAATATTTAAGGAAGGTGAGATTGGGAGAATCCGTAAATTTTCACGTGAACTTTGGGATGACAGTACAGAATTCCCTACACCCTCATGATTCCTTGTATAGTTGCTATTCTTTGGGCTGGCATTTTGAACATGAACCTACAGTGAAGGTAATAATACGTGTAAGTATAAACCAAATTTAAACTGGAAATAACTCGTAGAGTTGTTCTAACCTCTATATCCAAGTTCAGTTCTGGATAACGAGAATGAGAAGCTGAAAAGGAGAGAATCCCTTCTATGTTAGGGAGAGGGATCGAACGAATAATACAACGTCCATGACGGAAGCTGTATCGAACAGAATCATCAATATCAAATGATTTTGACTTAATTTTGAGGGTATGAAACTGCCCATGTTTCTCTTCATCATTGATGTTTTCATCAACCTTTCCTTGAGTATCGGTAATCTCGAACACAATATTCTCCAATTGTGAACCTGCTTTACAGTTCTTAAATAGCTGCATCCGAGAAACAATTAATGTAAATAAATACAATCGAAAATGCAGATGAAGGGTGGAGGAGAAAAAGATAACACCTTCTGTACAGCCCGCAGCTCTCTTATCTCAGTTTGAAATTGGAGTTTGAAAATGACTTCCTCTTCGGATATTACGTAAAGGAAAACTGTATGTGGAAAACACAACTAAATGCTTGAATGAACTAAGTTGTTTGAAAATTAATCAACAAATGGAAAAAAAAAAAATCATTATAATTTCTGACTATGTACATGTAAAAGAGAAAATAACTAGATGGTATTCCTATAATTCCCTTACACAGTGGAGAAAGGACACGTAAAATGATAGAATGCATGGTAGTTTCAAGTTGTGCAAGACGGTTATTGAAGCTAGAGTGAAGTTCGTAAGGTTTATTGATATCATGAATTTAATTTTTCATATATATTAGGCATGGAGTTCCATATTCTCATTCTATTGTAGAAGAAAAGCTCATTGCAAGTAGTAGACAAAAAACCGCAACATGAGAGCTATGAGGAGAATATGTATTATTAGTGCTCTAACCAGAGAAGTGAAACTGAATACTTTTTGACATAAATGGATGCGGGTACGTAGTGTCTATACACAGTGAATCCATTACTTACATATAACATGAAAATTATTGGAAATACTGGCATGATATAGGTAAAGGACTGAAGTGCTTACCATCTTTGCCATATCCCTTAGAAACCTTTAGAATATTACTCAGATCAACCAACCCATCAGCATCTACCTATCATCAGTTAAAAGAAATATCAGACAGGGGGTTGGCAATTAACTGCAGTAATAACTGGTGGATCAAGAAGATTAGATATAATAATCATTCCAATTCATGGTTAGGTCATGTTGCTATAAAAATCGTCCTATTTTGTTCAATATTCATACCCGTATGATAAGGATTTTAATTAATAAAGTAGATCAGAGCAACACAACTAAAACATGTAAAATAATACAATTGATCAGAACGTCATATTTGAGCAAGTTTAGATGTTCTACATAGTATGTGATAGTTGTAAGCTCAGTTCTTCACCATCCAATCTCAAACTATCTTTAGGAAATTAAAATAAGAGGATCTTAAGTAGTAGCTTGGTATTTTGTCTGTGTAGTGAAAAGTTTGAGTCTTATTGTAGAGGTTGGTTAAGATTTAAGCTTTATATGTTCTGTAAAAGAAATCAAGCTCTAACAAACTTAATACAATCAACTTTCAGATGAACTAAGCAGATTTTTCGTTTTAAGCCTATATGAATTGGATTTTGCATAAACAATTTAGGAAAATGTGCATTACATTTATTCACTCTTGACCATGTATGTTCACAGACATATTGTCGTGACCTCACAAATGATTACCTAGATGACATCGTTTCCGGATCAATTATAGTAATAGAGAAATTTATTTTGCAAAATAGATAAATTAAATGCCAAATGATTGCTACACAATCTTTTAAAAACGCTTGCAGACAAGTGAACCAACCTTTTTTGTACAATTGATACCCTTTTCAGTGACAATATTGCTTCCATCTTGAAAAGAGAATCCATCTACTCTCAAAGAAATATTTTCACCTTCTCTGGCGTGATTACCATATTCATCAAGCACCTACAGTAAGAACAGAGTCTCCGTTATCAATGTAGTCGAAAGTCCAACTGAACTTGTTGCCCTGTTTCCACATTTTTAGTTAGCTCAACTTGATCTTTAGCCGTTAAATAAGTAATAACAATATTTTTATCCAACAGAATCTTAAACCAACAACTACTTCATCGAAACCGTGAGTAATGAACCACAAAATTCAGGGATGAGAAGCATACTTCTAATGCAAGATCCTCAATAATCTCGCCTGGACGCAATTCGGTTCTTAGTTTTAATGGACGTTCAGTGATCCTTTTTGGAGTTCCAGGTAAAACTGTCAAAAGGAAAGTGCCCAAGCAAGAATTCCATTAATGCAAAAAAATTAAGTTAACTTCTGATTTCATATCAGCGCTGATATTTTTTATTAAATTGGAAACAAAAAAATCCAAATACCTCGACATGGGAAAGCTACAGAAAATGCTCCATCCAATGTGCTTACGTTTAAGGTAGCTTCATAATTTGGCCGAATAGCATCTAATTTATTGCTTCTAAGAACAATTTCCTACAAAATTAGAGCATATGAGTGGAGGCACTTGTAGTTAAACACATAGAATCGGCAGATCAGTAAAAATACCTTAATTTTAATAGTTGACTTGTCAGTTGTCACACTCACTTTCGGTCTGCATACTTGAGCAAGAATTGTGTTCGGTGAACTGAGCTTGATAGTCAATTTTGGAACAGCTGAAAATAGGATGCAGTTGCCGTATCTATCATAGCATGCTACACAAAGAGGTTCAAAAGAAGAACCAACCCTGTTCAACAAGTATGCTATCATCAAAAATAGATTCATGAAAAGAAAAGGTTCAAGTAGTTCCACGTAAATTAGAAAAAAAAAGAAAGTCAATACCGCATTGGGCATGAGTTTTGTCAAAATATTTGGATGCAACTAATACGAGTCACAGAACAAGTCAGTATTAGTTAGCAAGTGGAACCAAAATGTGTCACTGACAACAAGATGCATTATATGAATATTCATCTGTTAACTGTGTATAAATAAGTAATTATAACATTAAGTTAACAATAAAGGGAAAGAGTGATGCAGAAGGCAAGTTCTAGTAAATAGAAGCGGCTTTACACTTACATGCAGATGATGAATCTTCAAAAAATATTGTTTTAAATACTTCAGTTATAACGAATTTCTTCGATTCATCGGCAGTAAATTTAGAAACATTATAGAACAATATTACATATTGTCCAGTGTTGTTTGTAACAAGCTCAACTGCATAAACTAGGTAAGTAATTTATAACCACAATCGTTCAAAGAATTACAGATCGTTATCCTAGTTATCACTGTTTCAATTGTATTTTGAAAATATATTTGGGAACTCGTCAATGATGACAAGATTTTTATCCCAATATAGTCCATAACGTTATTTGAATCAGGTGCGGAACTCATAGAAACAACAACTGTACCTGAAAATTTATTTTCGAACTTCTGCAGACTCTCCATATTATATCATTTGTGGCAGTGCGATATATAGTACCGAGGAAAGCAAATGAAAATGAGAATTTCCAAAATAATTTTTTTTTAAATTTACGAGTGTGCAACAACCTCTTTGTACAAAACATGAGAAGTGATGTAAAAATCTGTCATGAAAAACCTACAAAATCAAGTCCATAATGAACTGAAACATACAGGTCCTCACCTGACTGTGTACAGTGAATCCTGTTTAGGACTTAGAACTTTCCAAGTGCCAATCTCAGCTGATACCTGAACTTGCACCACTTGTTCAAACTGTACATCCTTTGGTTCTTTCTAGTATATGATTTGTGAAAGGTAGTAATAGATCAGAATGAATCACTTTGCACTTTTATTCCATCATAACTGGACAAAGTTTAATAAAGAAATTTATGGCAATTACCAGAGCAAAGGAAAATGTATAGAAGCCAGCTTTCTGGAGTAGCAGGGGATGTTTTGATTTCACTGGAAATACGTACAAGCCATGAAGCCCCTGATGTGAGGAAGGTGGTATTATCACAGAATAAATATGATCACTTTCTCCAACGTATTCATCACCGACTCTGAATGTGACTTTTAAAATCATATCAAGATTATCCCTAACAATGAATTTTTGGTCCAATCTCTTATAATTTCCTTTCGAATCGAAAGACTTCGGACGGACAACAGCAACAATATTCTCCGGAGGTTCATCTCCAGCTCTCACAACAGTAGGAAATCCCTGTAAAGAAGTGGAACTGTTTTTTTCAGAAAAAATATTTTAATCTTATAAAGATGGTTAGGTCCAGGTCCTTTCCTGTCTCGTTTACTTAAGGGATTAAAAGATGTGAGAATTTATGTTTCACTTTTTACCTATAGAAACGAATTCAGATCATGACAGTTCAGTTATCCCTGATTGGATGTAATCACTTACTTCTCTTTAGCAATTTATCATCACATTCGCAATCAAAATTTAGTGTCCAAAACATAACAAAAAGGGTAGATTACTAGCATATACTGAGGAGTATAAATTCGATCCAAGAAAAAGTGATTCATTTACTACATTAACTAAGGTTTGGGGTGTTATATAGATTTATTCAGTATGCCGTATCTGTAAATCAAATCACATTAAAGAAAAAGGGCTTAATGAGAATATGCAAGTACATAAAAGAATTGTCTAACCAACCCCTTCAATCTCCAACTTATGGCAGTCTTTGTCGCTTAACAGTTCGATGGTAGAAGGCAATTTTTGGTTGTATGTCTCTAGCTTCTTCTCCCATTCAATGTCATCGACAGGAATCCACTGTATCTCAGGTTCAAAAACTCGTCAGTAACTAAAAAAATTAAAATTAAAGGTGAACAAAATAAGAAAATGGCTAACCTTTTCAGAATCAATGACTCTGATTGGTAAGACTAGGGAGTCCCGAATGTCAATGATTTTATTCTCATCTTTATTCAAAATATGACAACTTCTGGTTTCTGGTAGACCAAGTGGCCTATCAGAGGGAAATTTACGATATAAGGGTTTATACAAACTTTCCATTACGACTGAAACTTCCTCATAGCCAGCTAATTTAATAAACGACTTACCTACAAACCAGTCTACCGTCACCTAAAATTTAGGAAAAAAATTGATTAGATGCAATAAAAGATTTTATGCAACTTGAGTAAGAAGAAAAAAGAGGAAGAAACAAAAGGAGGAGGAGAACCCATGTCTTAAACGACTTTGAATACCAAAGACATACATTGTGTGATGTAATCAACTCAATTCAGAGATGTTGGAGATATATTCAACTCAAAATTACGCATGCACTTACCACAAACATCCCCTGGAAGACCTTCAAGGATAATATATTCCAATGTAGCAAATACATTGGTTTTATGGCATCCCATACAGGCTCCCTTTAAAACCTTGATTTTCTGACCTGCAGTCCAGCACTTTCCTTTCCTCTGGATCTTTTTATGAACCCTCAGGACTAAAATTTACAAGATAATAATCAAATTGGTTGATGTACATACTAATAGCAGCCAGAATATAAAAAAACAAAAAAAAAAAGAAAAAAGAAAAAAGAAAAAGAAATCCACAAGAATCATAATGCTGAGCAAAACATATTAAGAAATAGTTTATTAATGATGTTATAGAAATATGAGAAGAAAAAAAAGTAAAAAAATCATTGCCTCCTGTTTAGATTACCATCAGAAGTTATGCCAAGCTTTTTAATCTTCGAAGAAACGACAACAAGTGTGGGTTCATCCAGTCCACCATCAATTTCCTCATCATAACGATCGTGCATTTCCGAAATCCAGTCATTATACTGTTTCTCCAGTTGAGAGGGAGCCAAGTTGTTTCCATCTCTAAAGATTTCAATTCGCACTTCTACATAGCATTATTTTATTCAAACTCAGTACATAAACATGCATATATACATATATGCCAAAGAAGTTATGACTAGTTTAGATATTTGGTTAGTAGAATATTCAGTAAAATCTGAATGAAGTTTTCAGATAATAGGAGGTCATAGTTTTCGTTTTCTGTTCCAGATATAGAAAGCTGACACTCTTACAGAAAGGCTTGTTAGTCCTACTTCGAGCATCTAACGATAAATCGGACACGGCTCATATCTATGCACCAATTTGAGGGGGACTAAGAAAGAAGTTAGAAGAGGAGTAACCAATAAAATCTGAATGCAATATCCTGATTATGGCAAGGTTTTAGTTTTCCTTTTCTGTCCGATTGTAAGGGATCTTATTCCTGGTTCAATGGACCCTGTGATTAGTTTCAAATCTCACTCCTCATTATATTTCTTATACTCTATCTTGTAATAAGAATATTTTATTTTCTCACCTAAAATCTGCAATATATAGCTCTAAGGATAAAATGACATTAAAAGGCGGTAATAAAACGTGCTCCAATATTTTCAATGACATTTTTCCTGACAAGATTCATTTCACATGTTGTTAATAAAAAAATCACCTTTTTCATTTTCAGTTGCCCTGTTGCCGAAATTCTTTAATGCTTTGGTGTATGGATGATGTTGGGCTAAATCTGTCTGAAATATAAGAGCAAACAAATTTAGATTAGAAATTATTTTACTATGGGCAAAGAGCTATAATTCAGAAAGTAACATTTAAGAGGACAAACAACAGAAGTTGAAAAGAATTAGTTATTAGATCTTAAGTGTGATAATTTACCCGGGAACAAGACTGATAAAGAAAGCAGGTACTATGGTTGTAATGAGGTATTTAATGCATTCGTTATGGCACCTTAGATGCATTGCAATTAATACTATAAGCTACAGTAAGTGGAGTTCCTTGTTCGTTCCCGTACAAAGAGTTCAAGGGGGGTTACGTTTATAAGGTTTTTTAAGAATATTTTCTACAAAATTTGACAAAGAAATTCATAAATTCCAGAACTAAGAGTAGAGTACTTCATAAGCTCCTGAAAGAAGGTAGGACAATTCTAATTTGTTTCAAATGTGTTGTTACTTGTATTTGTAAATTTGATGATTAAATATACACTAGTATATCGACACAATCTTAAATTAGTAACTGATATTAAGTCTCAACTTTAACATACCCGTACACAACTCATAGAAATATATATTTTATCTGAAATCCATCGGTTAAACAAGTAGGATTCAATAAGTTCATATTATATGCACAAATATGTTAAGCAGCAGCTATATCCATTCTGGCAATTGGTCACTTTGCAACCATCAGCTTGTAAGCAGTTATTTAACCGAAATCCACAAATTTTGAGTCTCTAGAGATTTACCATATTCAGGCACCAAGAGCTTATTTTTAAGATGAGGTATAAGAGCTAATATATCCAAACAATTATCAATAATATCGAAAGTCTAATGATGCATTGAACTCCATACCTTATGAGGTGTCGGGTTGAAACCAGCATCAGTCTCTGCAGCCATAACAATTGCTTGCTTATGAGATGTACATTGATTGATTGAAAGTGAGTAATATCACTATAGTATTTCGAAGATCACATGAGCTCGTTTTAAGTCGCATAAGCTTTACCTATAAAACATTTCACTCTGGAGCAGCATCTCTTCAACATGTGGGACTTTTCACCTTTTCCCTGTTTTGGCTCCATAAAAGGAAGCAAAGCCTGTGGAAAAGACCTTTTGGACAAATAAGTATTGTGAATTTAAGATATGCGAACAAAATGATGAGAAATAAGATCTATTTAACTGACCCAGCGAGCATCAGGCAGGAGACGTCCCAACCTTCTTATAGATACGCGGCTAAATCCCTCAAAGCTCTCTCTGATTCCACAGCCATCTTCATCTAATGTATCTATTATCCTCTTGATGCTCTCTTCCCCCTGAAAAAAGCTTGACTTAGCTCACTATGTGGATGACCCTTTATCAAAATCAAAAGGGTTCCTAAGATTTTCTTACTGGATGCAAATAGTGGAAAGATTTATCACTACCTCAACTATGGGAAAGTAAACACACTTCAGTCTTGCATTTGCTTCTAAGAACACTCTTCCGCCTGGGGATTGAATTATTATATGAACAAATTATCAGAGGTCATCTTAGATGAATGAGTATTGCCACATCATCATACTTGATATCCAAAAATCTAGAAGATTAGCTTATGTTTATAGTAAATAAACGACTTGTGCTTACTTTGGCGGGGAATTGAAGATGGATCCTGATTGATTCTAAGATGAAGTTGCAGAGTAAAGTTGGGACCATTGCATGAATGTAAGTTTGTTGTCGCTACTTCCCCTCCCTGTATTCCCGCTAAATCTTCCCCGTTGACCTGCTTATTATCCCAAGTTTTAAAACTGACAACTGTGAACAGAATTTTATAACCCATCTACAATTCAGGATTACATATCTCATTTTTGTCTTACAACTTTTACTGGAACTCTACGCCTCTAATAAAAAATATAGAAAATATACGATACCAAATTTACTTGGAAAGATTAAGACAACATGTTTAATTTCGAGGGAATCATCAAGAAGAAGTACCATAAATAGAAAAGAGAGTCTAGCGGTTACCTGAAATTCAACGGGTCTGCTTGTTTTGCCAGACATTTCATCACACTGTTCAATCGAACAAAAGGCCCTAGTAAATAACTTCCAGGAGACAGTGTAGATCATCTATGTAAACTAAGTGAAAATTTGTGAAGCTAAAATTGCAGCAGCAGCTAATATCTCAAAAGTTCTGGTTTAAGAGAGACAGATAAATGACAACTGACTGAAATAGCAAACCTGGATATAAGGAAAGTAAATGTCCTTCAATTTGCATCGAAAATGTTTTATGTCCAAAGCCTTCATTTTAGGCTCAAAAATTTCAACCTGATAACAATTAACAAGTAAAAAAAAGTTAAAAGTCAAGCCCTATAGCACAATTTGATGCACATGAAGTGTTCCTATAATGATAGTATATCTGCAAACAGCCATTCGTGCACTCCAACATACCCAGAAAACATGGCAAAATATGACAGCATTTTCTGAAGGAAAGCACTATGAAAAACACTTACTTTCGTGAAACTTCCATGATCTGAACTCATTTTTTCATCTTCAGAAGGATCTCTTATTCCCCCTTTTGTCTTCACAAAGCATCAGAAGATCTTCAATAAGCAGATAGGAGAAAATAGAGAAAGACGAGCCAAAAAAGAAAGAAGTGCAACAGCTCAATTACCTTCCAGCAGTTCTCTGAGCTTGAAGCACTCACTAATGCTTCTCTTTCCAGATGTAACGTAAATACCTTGTTACAACTCTTTGTCTTCGAAGATACCACAGCACGCCTGCATTACAATGGATGTGAGTATGGAAGCTACAAATGTATATCATATAGAGAATAAACACTCAAGGATTCAGTGGTCATACCTTCCCAAACACATGGTAGCAACAGGACCTCCATATCCGAACATGCCAAAGAAAGGCTGCAAAGTCACAAAACAATGCAGATTAACTAATTACAAGACAACAATACAATGCAAGCCGCTTGATTATTTCTCAGGGTGGGCATGTTAGTTTGGTAGTTTACACAATGAGTACCGAACACTTTTGCTACTTCTTAAGTAAAGAAAACCAAGCACCTTAATGCAGAGATCCATGCATGTTTTCGGTGGTGACTAAATTCTTCCCAGGTCTCATTTTCAGACATAGTTTGAGACAAAACACAGGAGATATAAACAGCATTACAAAAGAATTGGGCGTGCAAGAAGTTTCATGATAAGAGTGTGTGCCATTTGACATCATATATTCTAGCAGTTAAATACAATTCTTTTGATTTTCGAGAGGTCGATCTTTCAGATGAGTGACTCGGAAGAATATAAAAAGGTAACAACATTAAAGTGTACACACATAGGACACTTGAGTGAACTATTACCATTAAATAGGGAGGTTTGCCCCCTATTGCTTGTCCCCTCACTGATCTGTGCAAAGATGCTCCCATTTTTCCCCTGGAAAAAGAAAAGCCAACAGAAAAAATAAAAGGAATAAATCACCAATATGTAAAGGATAAGAAATATGGGTTTAAGCATAGAACAAATGATTTGCACTCATGATTACATCTTCAACAACATCAAATTACAAGTCGAGGACAAACATAGCAACTCGTTCGTGCTTGCACAAGCTGATCGAACTATCTATATTCACAATATGAATATGTGATCAACTAGTTCCTTCAATTCAATAAAAAGGTTTGGTATATCCATGCAAGAAGTACTGTTTTTAGGGGCAACATACACTTTAATGTTTTAAATGGAAGACTGCTTAGCGAATAACTACAAAAGCGGTATCATGAGAACCTCTCATGTAATAAAGAAAAATGAGAAGCAACTACAAATGGGGTAACCTCTCACGGTCCAACAATTATCTAAGCAATGGTTACGAACCAAATTTTATTAAACAATACTCTTGAGTCAGAAAATATATAATATCATACCACTTCACGAGGTTCCCGCCAGCGCCATCCATTCCTGGTCCAGAGTCAAAAATTGAAATTCTGTCTCGATGCAATTCCACGCTGTAAATGACACAAATTATTTATCAGCTTTAAATAATAGCGCGACAAGAAGTACCTCGTTAAACAAAATCTAGATGTACTTATTAAATGAAATCTGTAAATGCTTAAAACATTTAAAAATAATAATTAATCTGATGCAAAAAGAGAAACAAAATGAATCAGCCTGCATTTATGTAATGCATATACAACAAAAGTTGTTCTCCACAAATAGAAAAAATATTTACAACAGTGGATGTTTTAATTAACTTCTGTACATAAATGAAATCTTAATTGTATCGCTTTTGAATCATAACTACATTCACTTGAAATCAAGGGTGATACTGATAAAGAGGAAATAGTTTAAAATGAAAGAAAAAGTTCACTTACACCCACCGGTAATTTTCTTTTAAATTTTTCAGTTGTCATGGACAGAAGTCGAAGTTTAATATCATTAAGTCCCATGAAAATTTTAGTTTGGTAAATCCTTAAGAGCGATTTCGGTGCCAACTTTCCAGAGTTAACTAGCTGACCACTCAAAACAACACAACCTAAAAAGGAAGCAATCAATATTTTTTGGTATTTAACCCAAAAAAAACAGCATTTCATTTACTAATACAAACATTTTCAGGGCAAGCAGTGGAATTTGCAAAACCTAAATCTCGATTTCATACCTTATTAGTCTTCTTTCGCCTCTTTCATTAGACCACAAAGCTTGCAAAGAATTATCCTGATAAACAGATAAATGGCTTTGGTATTCAATGGACAATATCAAACAGAGAAGATAATCATAAAACATGCTCACTATCAGATCAGCTAGGGCAGTTTCCAATGTATAGTCATCGGGTAGCTCCTTCAATAAGTCGGTATCTGGGGTAAGATCCCACATGTCCTGCATACCAAAGGTGTACAATCAATGAGATAATCACAGTGTAGAAACAAGAAATAAGCAATCATAGCACCCTATATCACTTAGCTTTGGATTGAAATGCAAAATTAGAAGCATACCTCGTATAACTCTGGCTCAGCTGACCCATCCTATATCAAAATAAAATACACGTATAAATAAACTCATAAGTGAAAGCAGAAACAGAACTAGGATCAACTGTGCTACCAAAATCTTACGTGGAGCCATAGGAAGTTCCACTTGGTATGCACAAAATCGCGAAAATTAACTTTGATTCTCATTTTTCTCAAGTTTCCGTCTGTGAAATGTAGGTCTGGGTACTTCCAATTGATGATTCTTCTCTTTGGTTCTGTAGAGTTTCTTTGCTTTGCAACAGTAAAATATTCTTTCCTGACAACATCTATGAACTCCTCAATTGACATCTCAGTGCGCAGCTCACTCAATTTGAGATCGAGAGTGGTTGCATTTGGCAGAAGTATGCGAAACTTGAAAATATTTGCTTCATCAACTGTACCCTGTTCGATTTTGACAGCTCCAAATGGACCCTTCTTTGGTCTCTCTATGCTAGCTTCTTCACGAGGCCTCTTGTTTTTCTTATTGAGGGGTGTCTTCCAGTACATCTGTCATTCAATAACAACAATTTAACAATATAATAGCAATTCAATCTTCATTTCAAATTAATTAGCACCAAACCATTAATAAGCAAACTGCCGGAAGAAAAATATTAAGGGAGACAAAAGGATTCAACTACTCTGGAAACAAAAACCACAACCAGTGCAAAATCTAACCATCTAAAATGCATGTGGCAACAAGGAACCCTACCTAATATAATTTGTTTCGCTTATTGTGGTACAAAAATTCAACAAACCCACTCCTAATACCGTCCCACAAAACTGCTATCACTATATGTGCATTCAAAGCAGCAGCAGCAACAAATTCACATATATGCACACGCAAGTATTAGCACAACCATTGACATACAAATTAAATCATGGCTTCTCGGGCTCTTTTTTTCATTATCAAAACACTGATTCATCGCTGTAGCAATAATTGTCCTACATCATGATCAAAACGCTTCAGCCGAAACAAAGGGGAAAAGAAAAAACTGTGATTCTCGCAGAGAAAAAACGGAGAATCCTTTCCAAAAAAAAAAAAAAAAGAAACCTAGAAGACAACTGAAATTATACACAAACGTGTGCATGGAGTAGTAGTACTTGAGCAGACATATGTGAAAGGTGGTCATATACAAACACAAAAAACAAAAATACTATAAATTAATAGCTTCGTGTAGAAGGGAGCTTACTTTTTACTGAACGCATACAAGCAAACTCTTCCAATTTTTCTTCGGATTGAGGGTTAAGATACAGAGGAAAGGGGAGAGAGAGAGAGACTGTGATTTAGTGAGAGAAAAAGGGTTTGATGGGAATTGTGAAAGACAAATAGACAATCCCCATAGAAAGCGTGTAGAATTTTCAATTTTTGGGGGGTGGCGGTGCATGAAAGAAAATAACATCTAACCCTGCTAAGCTGCGCCGGATTCATGTACAGATTATCAACTTCCGCTTTCATTAATTAAACTTCTTACCTTGATTAAGTAAATAAATACTAGTATTAATCAAAGCCAAACAGCCTTTAGATTTGTTCGACCCTACACCCTCTGATAAACACCGGGTAGGTCTTCTGCTGCCACGTGTCACTTTTTTGTATTTTATAATACATTCCCCGCTAGGGTTTACCTTGAGGGGTTTTAGAAAAATAAAAAAAGGGACACGTGGCAGCAGAAGATCCACCCGGTGTTTTTCACCGGGTGTAGGATCGAGGGAGCCCTTTAGTGGTCAGACCTTGCCACGTGGAAATAATGCCAGAAGTGAGGGGTGGTGCTGAGCTGGATATTTTTTTATTTTTTTAATCAAATTGAGCGCACGATAGAATATGCACTGGATTGGTAAGATGGTAGCAATGGTGACCGTTGGATCTGATCACCATAGATTACTTAAAATATATGTTTTATTACTGTAATATTCAAAATGTACTATAGAGTATATCAATTTATTTGATTATGGACACACTTTTGTCCAACGTTGAATTCAAATTGACACTTTATAAGTATTATTTTATTTTATTTGGGCTATGACAAATGGGCCTCGGTGCTACATGCTCAATTGGACCAAAATATGTGGATTTCAGAAAAAAAAAAAAAAAAAAAACAAACAAACAAACAAACTATTATCACATATTGGACTGTTTTGCAAACACACATACAATTTAAATGCACTTTTGCTGATTTTTTGGCCCAACTGGTTATTTAGAATTCAGCCCATTGACCAAATTCTCTTGAGGCGGCCCAATTATTCAAGAAGTTCAATACTTAAGCCAGCTCGGATCCAGTCAATCCTTGAAAGGCTCTAGATTCTTGATCTTGGACATTGATTTCCACCGTTTGATCCAAATTATGGGCAAGTGAGATCCACTTCTGATCGAGAGAAACACGAGAGGGTTCAAATCTGGTAAGGTGGGGTTTGAGTGAGAGACTTGATCAAATACCTGAGTGACTCCGGTCAGATATGTGTTTCGATGACTGTGCTTTATGTTGGATAGTTGGTGCCACCACTGGTGGGTTATGGACAAGAAAACGTGACAAACAAACTAAGTCATAACAGAAAAGCTTAGTTTCTCCGTATGTTGGAAAAAAGCTGTTTATAGCTGATTTTGTTTGGTTCCTCCCGTAATTTTCTTGTTTTCCGTTCTTAGTCGAATATGTAAAATCTCATATTCCCTTCCCCACAGGTTTAATCATGTAATAGATTAGTCGTGTTATTTATTCAGCTCGTAATGGTGTTCGAACGAGTACCCAACAACTTTTACAGCTCAACTATAAAAAAAATGGCGGAATCATATTTTTTTTTTATCTCGACATTCTTGTAAATGTTTAAATAAAGTGACAATAACTCATCACCAAATTTAACTTAATTCAATCAAACCAGTTTATGAGGTGTGAAATGCAAATTATGAATCATTTTGAAAACTTTAATTTTCCTTTGAATGCAAGCAAAAGGCATCCATCTACCTTACTATAGACACATTTTTATTTAGATTTTCTTCTATAATAAAATTTTCAACTGCATTAAGAAGTCTGCAAAATTGGTGGTGAAAAATGAAATTCACAGCTCAGCAAACTTAATAATGAATTTATATCACTGCCTTTAATTCCATCAACTTTTTAATTCACACTACAACCAACTTGCTCTTATTTGATTTCTACACTCTCACACATGACTTGTTAATTTTTTATTTAAATTTTTATTGTGTAGTCACTATTGTGAAAAGTTGGCCTATTTATTGTAAAAAAAAAATAGTTTAAAGTATATATATAGACATATATAATTAAATTAATATTATAGATAATTATTTGTGAAAGATTAATATTTGAGGTTGAAAATGAAAGAAACATGCTCATGTTAGGTTAGAAAAAAATGACATTTTTTCGTATGCTTGTTTTGGTAACGTTGCCCCGACAACCTTCGTGAATTAGAACGAGGAGCTGGTTAAAATTAGAAAAAAATAAAAATAATTTATGTGAATGTTTAATCTTATTTTTATCAAACCCGTGAACTTTATAATTTTGACTTTGTGGTCCTATATGTTTGAATTATTGCACATTTGTCTGCCTAGTGATTCAATTTAATATTATTGATCACTGGCTAAAGCAAATGCAAGTATCCCAACAAGAACTCGTAATCATCTAGTATAAATAAATCGAAATTTAAATATAAAAATTAAAAAGGTACCATATCTAATTTTTGGCTATAGGCTATTATCAAAGATAACTAGAGTGAATGTGTCTAATGATGAACAGGTAGGAATTTTCTACAATAATTATTCACTTCAACTACATGTGATAATGATCGATGCGACACTCTTTAAACGTAATAATAGTCGTTATGAATTAATATATGTTTACTCTAAATTTATTGTTGAATCGAAAATTTGTTATCGAAATTCATCGAAATATATTATCATCGAATTATTGAGAATCCTACAAAAAGTTCAAAAATTAAAAATAAAAACCATATGATATATTTTTTCTACTCAGACGTTACATGATTTAAAACATTAAAAATATATGCATCTTTTTCTGAAAGTCCATTGAGAAAAAAAACCATATATATAGATGAATGCCCCGGTGGAGAGGGCAGTTGACACGTGTAACAGTTGCATTGGCTAAAGCACAACTGTAGATGCATGGTGGTGCCCCAAGAAGCAGCTACCCCCGTGAGGATGATTAAATACTAACGGCAAAATGCGCGGACCCATCAGTTACCCCTCTCTCTCTCTCTCTCTCTCTCTCTCTCTCTCTCTCTCTCTCTCTCTCTCTCACTAGATATATTATACATACATACATACATACAGTAATTGGTTATGTACTTAAATTTTCATTAAACTTTGTCACATGTTGTTCACTCGCAGTGTTATAATATATTGGTGCAGAGTACTAGTTTTACACTTTTACATATAAATCAAGAAAAAAACATTAGAAAGCACTGACACAAGAGAATTCTCTAGCTATTTTTTTCCATTGTTCCAGGTTTGTGTGTTTTTACTCATCATTCTCTTGTTCTCACTTCCTGTATTAGGTTAATTAAATATATATATTATGTCTGAACATATTCACAGATTTTTTTTATTTAATTTATGATCATATAGTATTATCAGGTTGATTCTTTAAAATTTGGCCGGAAATGGGGAAAAAAGGCGGCAACAGCGGCGGCTGGTTTTCTTCGGTGAAGAAGGTTTTCAAGCAATCTCCCAATAAGGACTTACCTGAAAAGAAGGTTGTTTTATTTATTCAATGTTGTTTTTAATCAATAAATCAAGATGCTTTTCTTGTGAATTCCCATTTTTGTGCAAGCATCATATATATAAATCAGCATTAATTAATTAAATGCCTTTATTAATCACTTTTAATTAGTGTTTGATTAGGTGGATTAATCAGGTGTTTTCTGACTGCTACTTGTCCTAGAACAATCAATATGTACCTAATCTTGGATTAATGATATATAGTTACGTACAACCTCATCTGTTCATCTGATAGGTTTTTTTTTTATTTTTTTTTTATTTTTTATAATTAATTTTGCAGTATGGGACATGATGAAATAGCAATTAAAAAGATTAATTTGGATATATAATGCATCTATAAATATGAAAAAATGGTCCCCTTTTGAATAAATCCAAAAACAAACAGCAGGGCTCATGTCAAATTGCTTTCTTTCCAACCATGCCAATCACAATCATCTTTTTTTTTTCCTTCAATCCCAATCCCATCATTATTTCACTAATTATTAATTATTATTTTTTATGATCAATAAATTACTTAAACAACTGCTAATGTTTTCAGAAGGAATTAGGTGTCGAAAAATGGCAGTACGAAGCACCGGAAGTGGTGTCCCTCGAGCATTTTCCGGCGGAAAGTTCGCCGGATATGACTAATGATCAGGAGAGCGTCCAGTCGTCTCCGGCGGTGGTGGAGGGTCGGAGTAGCCATGCTATGGCGGTGGCTGCCGCCACCGCAGCCGCTGCTGAGGCGGCTGTTGCTGCCGCTCAGGCTGCCGCTAAGGTGGTCAGGTTGGCCGGTTACGGACGACACTCCAAGGAAGAAAGGGCTTCGGTTCTCATCCAATCTTATTACAGAGGATATCTGGTAACTAAAATTAGAATCCATAAACATGATGACCAGAACTTTCCCATCTAGTTTCGGAAATTGGAACCGAATTTCCGAATTCCGCCGATTCTAACCCGAAAATTTCCAATCTTGGAACAACATTTTTTAATCCGAATTCAGAAAGTTCCGATTTTTCCATATTTTTTTTTAGAATGGAATTGGAATTCATATTAGATGTCGACCTCCGATACGTTTTATTTCCGAAAGTTCCGATTGTGTTTCGTAAATTACACTCGTCATATCAATATTAATTATGTTATAGATGTCTCAAAATTGAAAAAAAAATCAATTTCATCGATTCCGATCATAACTTTTCCAATTTTGGAACAAGTTTTTTCCGTTCTAATTTTATATTTACTCTGTTTTTTTTTTTTATAACTTTTTTGAACAATTGCGATCGGAACCGTCCGATTTTCACTCCGTAAAATCCTAAATAAGTATTTATTATTTTACGGAACTTGTAGGCGAGACGGGCATTACGTGCTTTAAAGGGGCTGGTAAGGCTGCAGGCACTAGTTAGAGGCCACAACGTGCGAAAGCAAGCGCAAATGACGATGCGGTGCATGCAAGCGCTGGTGCGCGTGCAGGCCCGTGTGCGTGCGCGCAGGCTACAACTACTCCACGACAAGCTCCAAAGCAAATTGGAAGAAGGAAAACAAAGGTTGAAATCGAACGAAGAAGCTCGTAATCAGAAAAGAACTCCAACGACGAAAAAAGTCGAGGACGAACAATGGGACAGGAGAAATCAGAGCATTAGAATAAGGGAAAACAACACTTCAAGAAAATTGCATGAATCTGAAATGAAAAGGGATAGAGCTCTTGCCTATGCTTTGGCCTGCCAGGTTTTCTTTTATACTCATGCATATTTTATTTAATTATCCTTAATTGCTCTACATTATTCTTGAGGATTTATTGCATTTAGCACCCCGTATTTTGATCTTATTGCAAAAAATAAAATAAAAATCATCGTGTTATAAATATAACAAAATTCCTTATGATTCAATTTTATTAGCAAACTACTCCATAAAAATCCATCAATTTAGGGGTTGCGTGCTAATATTTATAACACGAGGAGTTTTTAGTAATTCAATATACATGCATGGTACTAAATGCAATAAACGTACACGTGGTGTACATTGGTATAATTGAAATGTACAATATATTCGAATTAAACTATTCCAATTGACATCAGCATCAGCAGCAACAACAACAAATGATGCATTCAGAAATCAACGACGACAACATTGGAGCGCTCTACGACCACGGCATCGAAAAGCCACACTGGGGTTGGAATTGGCTCGAGCGTTGGATGGCCGCGCAACCGTACCACCACCGCCACACATCACCACACGAAAACGCCAAAGACAACACGTCCGAAAAAACCGTCGAAATGGACTTAGTGATGCAACTAAGCTCGGAAAACGCAGACGTGGGCCCACTCAACCGAGAATACATCGAAACAAGCCCGTACACATCAAGACACCCCCGAAAATCGGGCTTGGACGACGTGGTCCCAAGCTACATGGCCCCCACGCAGTCGGCGAAAGCGAAGGTGAAAAGTCAAGGCCCGGTCAAGAAACTTATAAGCCCACCATCGGCCCAATGGAACTCATCTACAAAGAGAGGGAGTGTAATCGGGCCGGGTTATGAGAGTTCAAGTTCGGGTGGGGGAACTGTGAGTAATTATCAGGCCCAAAGAAGCCCAAACCCGAAAGAGAATATTCGCGGGCTGGGTAAATGGATGTGTAGCCCGGAATCGAGCGGTGAGGATCGGGCTTTGGCTAATGGGGCCCACCATGGATGGAGACATAATTTTGGGTGATTTATTTAATTAATTTATTGTTTGTGTGTTAATATATATATATGTTGTTTATTTAATAATTTAATATGCAGAATAATGTTGTGAACCATCTATAAGTGGATGAATATTTTGTTGGCCTGTTAATGAGTTCATCGAGTTGGCTACTCAGCTATGTAAAATAATGTTGAGTGTGATGATGATGATTTCTTTTTTTCTTTTTCTTTTTTTAATTCACACAAAAAAAGAGAAAAAATAAGCAAGTTGGAATTCACAAGAAAAGCATTTTGAATTTATTGATTATTGTGGTTAAAAGTTAAAACCAACAATTTATTATCAGTGTGATAAATAATCGACATTTTGTGATAAATAATCGACATCGTTAAGGGATTTCTTTTAATCATTTTGAGATTTTAAATACAATATATATGAAATTTTAGCTATATTGATAATCTTAATATAAAAACGATATATAAGCTTAGGGAAAATGGAACCCACCGTTGTATAAAAAATGAAATGCTTATACTCGTTTGGTTGGGGAAGATTAACCATGATTACCTAAACAACAGGACTTTGTTTGATGTTCGGTATTCCGAATAAATTGTCGGGTCAACCCGTCAAAATTATGTTAACGTCGCCAGGTCGGACAAAATAATTATATTTTTATTATATTATTTAATCTTATCTTAGCAACTAAATGAAACATAAATAATAAATAAAAAAAATGAGAAAAATAGAAACAAAATAATAAAATAATTAAAAAAGAAGTCCAAGAATTTATCTTTGCATGCTTTGGTGTCCTCACAATAAAATCGCACAAGATATCGTATTATTCGTATAAAAAAAGTAGCGTCTACACAATCATTTTCACGAACTAAAATTGCACCAGCCCTTCTCTTTTTTCGCGCTTTCACCGGATCCCATTATACACTGCGTTACGCCTTCCAGATTTTTTTCTTTTTTTTCTCCAATTTTCTTTTTTCTTTTTTTGCCTCAACAAAAAGATCTATTCTTTGCTTTCTCCACCGGGGTTGCTTTCTCTCTCTCTCTACCCTCTCTCTCTCATGGAGGCTCTGCAAATCAGCCCATCAAGAATTCTCAGCCCCACCCCTAGATTAACGGAAAATTCAATTTTCAATTCCTTCGGCGGCGTTAGGCAAGTGGGGTTTGCCTCTTTGCTGACAAGAAACATAAAAAAACAATCTTTTTGTGGTAATAAAACAAGATCATACAGCAAAGGGGGTTTCATCACTAGAAGTAGTAGCAGTGCTCAAGATAAAGAAGTAGAGGATGGTCTATAACTTGATACTCAGAGAGATATCTCCGGCTCTGTTATCGGCTTTCACTTAATTCCTCATTCCGGTATGCAATTCTAAATAGAAGGGGGGGTTGGGGGTGGGGGTTGGGGGTTGGGGGTGGGGGGGTGGTGGTTCTTAATTCTTTATACTTTAAACAGCATTACTGCTGTTTCTTGTTTGTTTAATTCTGGCAAGTTTTTGGCTCCCATTTTGGAATGTGAATTGTGCTTTTTTAATTGTTATGATCACAATTTTGTTGTAGGCTATATAATAATAAATGTGCTTGATCTCTGTTAGATTAGAGTGCTCTATGATTTTAGTATTCTAGGGATTCGTTTGGGTTTCGGGGTTAAATTATGCAATTTTGTGAAGACGGGCTCGTTTTTCCGTAGTTGCGGGCCGACCCAAATAGTGATTTGCACATGGCTTATCTTACGAAGCAAACGAGGCCTAGGATTATTGCCTTTCTGGTTGTACTAGATTAGAGTATAAGTTGACGAGTTTTTTAAGTTTATGTTGATGCACTGCAGTTTGAGTTGCAGGCAGCCGAAGAAAAATCCCGTTTAGGGAAATGCAAGATCTTTCTAGAATACCGTAGTTCGATTCTAATTTTCAAACGAGAAGAAAAAGAAATGGAATTTCAGATTCTTGTGAATTGGATATGACTTTATTTCTCTACGAACATTGAAGTAATTTACATAAATTATTTTCACGAAATAGCGAGGCCGTTTCAATTTATGAGGGCGACTTTAATCTAACTTAAGCAATTTGTGATGAAAAAGTCCCAGAAACTCAAGGAAACGGAGCTAATGGAGGAGTTCAGTTATCTGAAGAAATCGACACAAGTGACAAAGCTTCAACAAGAACAGTACACAATGTCGTTTTCGTAACTTCCGAAGCAGCTCCGTATTCCAAAACCGGAGGCTTGGGAGATGTTTGTGGCTCTTTACCTATAGCACTCGCTGCACGTGGCCATCGTGTTATGGTCGTCTCTCCTCGATATTTGAGAGGAAATCCATCGGATAAACAGTTTTCCAATGCCGTCGAATTAGCAGAGCGGGCCAAAATCTACTGCTTTGGTGCTGAACAGGAAGTTGGATTCTTCCATGAATACAGAGCTGGGGTTGATTGGGTAAAATCTTTTAGCTATTCATAATTGACTAACTTCTCTTTCAAAGATACATAAAAATCCAATCTTTAACTGTCTTTACTTGTTATGTTTGACTTTTTTAGGTCTTTGTTGACCACCCGTCGTACCACCGACCCGGAACTCCGTATGGAGATACTTTTGGTGCTTTTGGTGATAATCAGGTACGTGATTTTTCTTGATGAAAAGACTAATTTTTTAAATTAATTTCTATGTGCTACGGCCTATATTATTTTCTTGATAAACGGCAAATATTGATATTCTGTCCTCGTTTTTTGTGAACAGTTCAGGTTCACTTTGCTTTGTCATGCTGCTTGCGAAGCTCCATTAGTGCTGCCACTTGGAGGCTTTAATTACGGAGAGAAGTGCCTATTTCTTGCAAATGATTGGCATGCTGGCCTTGTTCCTGTGTGAGTTATTTATTTATTTAATATTTTTTGATGAATTCTCGTTAGAATATATTTATTGTAAAAAAAGAAAAGAAAAGAGAGAGAGGATTATTATTTGACAGTATATATATCTGTTCCACAATTTCAGACTCTTGGCGGCAAAGTATCGTCCATACGGTGTATACAAGGATGCTAGAAGTCTCGTTGTCATACATAACTTAGCTCATCAGGTAAGTTATTTTTCGTCTACCCAAATCGATTTAATTTTTTTAATTTTTTTTAAAATTTATAAGAAAGTATAGAAATGAAGCATGGTTTATTTAATTCGTCTCAAAAGGGAGTAGAGCCAGCAGCTACGTATAGCAATTTCGGATTGCCGCAAGGGTGGTACAAAGCTTTGGAATGGGTTTTCCCGACATGGGCAAGAACACACGCTCTCGACCCCGGTGAAGCGGTCAACGTTCTCAAATCTGCTATCGTCACTGCCGATCGAATAGTCACAGTTAGCCAGGTATTTTATTACACGAATTTCTTCGATTTTTCTTTTCGAATATTTTTTAGGACTTTATTTTTTCTTGGTGTAGGGTTATTCATGGGAAATAACTACCCCTGAAGGTGGATATGGACTGAACGAGCTATTAAGCAGTCGGAAAATAGTTATAAGTGGTATGTAATTTTACGTTTGGTTATCTCGAATTCCCGTTTAATCCACATATTATTTTTTTTCTCTTTCTTTCGATAATTTGTTCTACACAGTATTATCGAACACGTAAATGTTAACTCAAAGATATAATGCAAGTGAACAGGAATTACGAATGGAATTGATGGCAATGAGTGGGACCCATCGACCGACGAGCATCTTCCTTGCCACTACTCTATTCATGACCTCTCTGCAAAGGTACGGAAGCTCTCTCGATTAACTTATAACCATCATTTTTTTATTTAATTTATTAATTTTTACGACATTTGTATATTCTAAGTTTTGCTGCCGATAATTGCAGGTCCAATGTAAGATTGCACTGCAGAAAGAACTCGGCCTTCCAGTTCGATCAGATTGTCCTTTGGTGAGAACATACCTTTTCTTTTCTTTTATTTATTTGTTTTTTAAAAATTATTTAATATATTTTAAAAATAAATGTTTTAACAGATTGGGTTTATCGGGAGGCTCGACTACCAGAAAGGTGTCGACATTATCCTTACAGGCATTCCAGAACTTCTGCAAGACGATGTCCAATTTGTAAGGCGTTTAAATTATTTTTGATACTAATTTGGTAAAAAAATAAATAAAAATAAAAATACGAGTCACGTATTTCCGAATGCTGATTTTTACTGTTTAAGGTAATGCTTGGATCCGGGGAAAAACAATACGAAGACTGGATGAGACAATTAGAGGAGGTTTATAAAGACAAGTTTCGAGGTTGGGTTGGATTCAATGTTCCGATTTCACATAGGATCACTGCAGGGTAAATAATCACTACAAATTCCGACTCTACTTAAAGCTATAAATAAAATAAATGAATTTATGTAAATATATAATTTTTTTTTCGGCAGTTGTGACATATTGGTAATGCCGTCAAGATTCGAACCATGTGGTCTAAATCAGTTGTATGCAATGCGATACGGCACTATTCCCGTTGTTCACAGCACTGGCGGTCTTAGGGTTTGATCCGCTATACCTAAATTTCTCTATATTTTTTTTAATTATAATTATAATTATTTATTTCTGGCTTACACTTTTTTTATTTTTATTTTAATAAAATCAGGACACAGTTCAGACGTTCGATCCATACGCAAAGGAAGGTAGCGGTGAAGGGACTGGGTATGTATATCACTTCATAAGCGTTTTCGCGCTGAAATTAAATTTTAAAATGCAACGTACATATGTAAGTTTATTCGAAAAATGCAATTTTTTCGTTATGCTAATAATAATTTTACGTTGCGTGTGTAAAAACAGGTGGGCGTTTTCTCCTCTGTCGAAAGAGAGTTTACTAGCTGTAAGTTCCCCCCTCATCCTAATCAAAATTTAAATGAAATATTCCCTTTTTTTTTTTTCTTTCCATTTTCTATTTAATTTATTTCACCAATTTATGGAAAACCGTTGCATGTATATACACAGACACTAAGAATAGCCGTCGGAACATACAAAGAGCACAAGCCATCATGGGAAGGATTAATGAAACGGGGAATGGAGAGAGACTCGTCTTGGGATAAGGCAGCCACTCAGTACGAACAAGTTTTCGAATGGGCATTTATCGACCCTCCTTACGCCGGCTGAAAAATCTCTAATCGAAAACTAGTCCCTTTTTTTTTTTCTTTCTTTCTTGTCGACATAGAATGCGTTTTCGAGAGTGTAATAAGATCAGCTTCTTCTGACGAATAATAAATTTTCTATATAGCAAACAAAAACAGTAGGGAAGTTTTGTTCATTTATTATTAAAAATTGAAATTATACATTCTGATTTTAATGAGTTAATCCCACATCGGTTGGGAGTAGATTTTAGGCGTGTAATTTTGTCCCACATCGGAAGAAAGAAGAAAAGGTTTGAGAAATGGAGGCTATAAAAAGGGGGAATGGGTAGTGGAAAAAAGTATCTTTGCGCTTGGGGCAATGACGCAGCTAATGAGGTTCTAACCGAGGCGCGTCTATTGCTGGTTGAAAACTATTTCCAAACCCCCTCTTAGGCCCGGGTTTCACTCGGGCCTTCGAGAATTTCTGGAAGGGCTCCCTTTTATTAGGGTAAAGCCCTACATTTCTTAGTCTTAATTTTTTTATAGTTTTACCCAATTAGGGACTATTTAAATCATATTTTATAATAAAATAAAATTATAAAACAATATTCATTTATAACCCAATAATTCTGCCTATAAATTGTATAATAATATAATTTTAATAAGGAAATATAAATTTATTAAGGAAAAATACTCAAGTTTGAATTGTTTTTCCATTTGGTCCTTTGTGTTAAAAAAAAAACATATTTGTTCTATCATGTATGAATAATTTTAAATGTGTTTTTTGTGAATATGAGGGTTGTAAAATGGTGGCAACTATTTTAAATCCCAATTTTTGCTTACTTGAATACTACCAAGTTTAAAACCAAAATTGAGTACATATTTATCAGTTTTTTCTTACTTTAATACCAAAATAAAAAGAAAAGTACAAAAACACCCTTTCATACAAAATATCAATTATATCAAATTTTTTTAGAAATTACCTATTCAAAAACCAAATAAAAAAAAAAAACCCTTTGTTGTAAAAAAAAAAAAAACCTCCACCATTTCTTCTCCTCTCCAACCCTCACCGCCGTCGCCGCCGCCGTCGCCGCCGCCGCCGAACGCCACCGCACGTGCTCGTAACTGCCGCGACAACCCAATTAAACCCTATCTTTTTCATCTTCCTAAATCCTCCAAAACATCTCCAAATTCAAAAAATCAAAACCTCACAAAAATTATAAAATGGAGTTATAAGACAATAATATGGTAGTATATGTGGAAAGAGAAGCCATTAAGGTAAGTATCGATGTCTTTTTTGAGCTTCGAAGTCGATTTTGAAGTTTTTTTTTTGAAACCCGTCGGCAATTTTCGACACATACAGGTCGATTTTTTGGTCAATTTTCGACACCAACGTGTCGAAAAAAGAAAAAAAAAAAAAAAAAAAAAATTTTCGACACCTACCTGTCGAAAATTCTCCAAATTTCGACAGGTAGGTGTCGAAATTTGTTTATTTTTTAAAAAAAAAAAAAAAAAAAATTTTTTTTTTTTTTTTTTTTTACCAACAGTATTTTTTCGACACAAAATTGCCGGCGGGTTTCAAAAAAAAAAACTTCAAAATCGACTTCGAAGCTCAAAAAAGACATCGATACTTACCTTAATGTGTTCTCCTTTCATATATACTACCATATTATTGTCTTATAACTCAATTTTATACGTTTTGTGAGGTTTTAATTTCTTTAGTTTTGAGATTTTTTAGAAGGGTTTGTTGTGAGATTTTTTAGAAGGGTTTGTTGTGAGGAAGATTTTTTAGAAGGGTTTTTGGGGAGGGAGAAGAAGGAGGTGGAGGAGGGAAATGGTTTTTTTGAGTTTTTGATTATTTGGTATTTAAGAAAGAAAAATAATATTTGTAATATTTTTTTGGTTTTAATTTCATTAAGGGTATTAAAGTAATTTACAATTAATTATTTATTTTTTATTTTTTTGGTATTCAAGTAAGCAAAATTTGGGATTTGAAATAGTGATCCCCTTGTAAAATTGGTGCAAACTTTACCTTTAATATTGTAAACATTATTAATTATTAAATATTAATAATTAAAAAAACATCACAAATAAGTAAAAATGAAATAAAAAATATAATAAGTAAAAGTAGATTAAAGAAAAAGAAAATAAAAGAGAGAATTTTCCCCAAAACTAGGAGAAAACTTGTCTTCGTCCTCAGGCGAAGTTTGTTCTCTCCATTTTCCGATGGATTAAGCTACCTTCTCCAAACCCTAAAATTCCATCCCAAAATCGGTTTCCCTATCAACGAATCTTCCTTATCCTTGCACGCAGGGATTGATTTTTTATTTGGGGGTGAAATAGAAAGCGATGATTCCGAATCCGGATCAAATTCAGTACGCCTGCATCGCGAGAGGCACCACCGTGTTAGCGGAATTCAACTCCAAGGACGCCGCGCTCGGCGCAATCGCCGCCAAATGCCTCAACAACGCGCCGTCGCTGCACGCCACGTTCACGCACACCGTCCGTTCGAAGACGTACACTTTCCTGATCGACGAACCCTTGGTCTATTTCGTGATTTTCGACGAGAAGCTGGAGAAATCCGAGGGTTTGGCCTTTCTAAGAAGCGTGCGGGACGCTTTCTCCAAGGTCCTCAAAGGGGAGAGGAAGCTCGAGAAATTGAGCTCCCATTGTTATCAGGGTGAATTCAACCCTGTTTTTCGTCAGTTGTTGGGCCCCGCGTTGTACCATATGGAAATCGGGTCGCCAACTGGTCGGAGAATCGGTCAAAGCGGGCTCTTGCAATCCGGGTCGGGTCCAATTAGGGATAGGGGCGGGAAGCCCAATGGGGAGAAGGGGTTGACCAAGATGAAGAATCAGCTGCTTGGACAGCTCAAAATCGGGTGGAGAAATGGGGAGAAAGAGAACGACGAAAACGGTGGGAGTGGGATTGGATTGAGCCGCGAGTTTTCGATGATATCGGACAAGAGTGGAGGAGGGGGTTGTTACTCTGCTGAATCGAAGGCCAAGAATGTTTGGAAGAAGCAAGTTTGGGTTGTTCTCTCTCTAGATTTGATCTTTTGTGCCATACTGTTTGCTGTTTGGTTGTGGGTTTGCAGCGGTTTCCAATGCATGGCGAGCTGAATTCACCGGGTACAGGATATATACGTTGATAGATAGATGTATCTACTTGTTTTTCTTTTGCATATTATTTATATTTCGACACTTCGATGTTGTGAATACATACACGATTTATACGAATCATAAGCAAAAAATGTATCTTTACGGCAATTTTTCTGTTGGTGTTTGTCATTACCGTTTGTTGTGCAGAAAATGCTTATAGCCATATGGGGTTTTATTAGTAATTTTACCACCAGCACAATTCGAACGAAGATTTTCGCACAATGTGGAGTATGTACATCAATTGAAGCTCAAGTTTGGCAATTCAATCATTGCCAAATAGATGAAAACACGGCTTACGAGAACTTGCGAATACATTATTAATGGGTTTGGCCTGTACGACATTCAAATGTAATCCTTACATTCCCAGTATTATCATCAGCTACAGTCAACATACAGCAAGACTCTTAACAATTGAACAAAATTGCAATTAAAATGTTAATAATCATATAGGAAACTTAAATAACTTGTAGTATATTATTATTGCATATTTCTCGAATTAGCCGCAAGGAGTGAGCTTCTTATTACCCGCACCGCGAGGATTATCGTCTTTCCAGTCATCCCATGCCCTTGCCTTATCTTGGGCAGCGTCATCATCTTCATCTTCCTCCTCGTCTGGTCTAGGTGGTTTGTTATCGTTATACCATGATGAGTTAGCTTCTTCCATTAGCTTCTTAGTGCTCTCTTGCCATGTGTTCATAATCTCCATCTCCTTTAATCCAGCTTCCTCTATGCTCATTGTTGGTAATCTATCAAATCACAATAAAAAAAATTCAGAACATTTATTAATGCCATCTTGCATCTTTTGGACTGTTGTCTCTCCAGCTTTATTATTTCACCGAATTTTTACCTGTGGTAAGGCTGGAAAACTTGAGCTGCTATTCTCTCCCTCTCGCTTGTTGGGTTTTTACCTACGAGGCTGGCTGGTCCGAATAGCATTGGCTGGTGCTTGTGGTCGTGAAACTGGGAAACGTCCGCTCTACCCTCTAAAACGTCTTGAGCAAAAGTAGCACATGTGATTGGAACTGTGGGTTTTGTATATCGAGCCCTTGTAGCAGCGTCACGATGCCAAGCTTCTGCTTTCTTGGCACGCTCGTCGAGTATAGACTGTGAAAGTTCGTTATCTCCTTCCTGTATATGAATGTTGCTATCATAAGTTGCACCTAGATGGATTTGAGAATGTCCAAGTTCGATTCCATCATAGCAATGAAGTTGACAATAAAAAAGCAGAGACGTATAAAGAAGTCACAGTTACAAGATTGCACTAGAAAAAGTACCGAAAAGCCCGGACTTAACATATATTGCACGAAAGATGTGTTCCTATTGACTGAAATAAACTACTCTTTTGTTTCTCAAACCTAGGCCTCAAAACTGTAAATGTTTTAGGTGAATAGATGCAGTGCAGGCAGGCAGGCAGAATAAATGAATTTAACATGCTGGTACGTGCAAACAAGCTTCTCGATTTAGGAAATGCATATCATATATTCGAGTATTGCACATGCAGAATACAAAAAAAAAAAAAAAAAAAAAAAGAAGAGTATTGTAATAACTTAAGAAAAGAGCATCACAAAGAAGTCCCAAGTTTAAAAGGACGATACCTGTGACTGTCTTTCCCTTATAGCAGAGAGCATTTCTTCCTCTTTCTTCAGCATTTCCAGCAGATCAAATGACTGAAAATGTGAACAAAATCGTTATGTATACCTATGAAGGCGGATAATTTCAATATATATGGTTGACACTGAAGTTGATGCAATCTCAGACCAACCTTGCAAAGTGCCAAGGAGATGGTGATGAGCCACGCCTAAGAAGATCAATCACAATTCAAGAATTTAGTTACACTCAAATAGATGAAAAAGGCTCACAGACCAATAAGAATGGAAATAATTACATAGAAAAGAAGAGAGTCACAAGAGAACATACCTCCCTTTCCTCTTCTCCATCATCGTCCTCCATATCATCTTCCCCTACCTCAACAGGGGTAGATAATGCAGATGCTCTTGTTGAACGTCCACGGCGTTCCTTCCGCTCCCTTATTTCAAGTAATTTTGATTCAGCAGCTTTTTGGCGTTTGAACCGTGCAATCTGAAGAATTTGTTACACTTAGATACACGAAATTGTCACATCTCCAAGAAGTGCTCGGTTTCATACAGTTATGTGGCATGGTTTCATACAGTTATGTGGCATCGCATTTGCATTTCCAAGTACCCGTGAGCACAAAAACATTAACCTAAACGAATCTGTACCTTCTTAGCTCTCCGATCAGTAGATGCATTTCCCATAGCTTGGGCTGATGATTCCAGTTCGTCTGCTGGTACAAGCTCCATCACCTCACAGAATGAGATAAATTCCTGGTGTGTCCATGTAAAATCCAAAATCCATAAAAGATCATAAACTTCACCAAGATAAATTTGAACGGGATCAACAAACCAGAAAGCATAACAAATACAACATCTTTAAACATGATTTGACAAAAAAATGGTACCTTTAACTTGGCCTGCGAAGATTTAAGGACTTGAATCCTGTCCCCTTCAGCAATTTTTTCTGTTAGTTCACCAAGATAATACAGTACCTGTATAAAACACGATGACCTAAGATCTTAAGATAATGGGAGTATATTACAGTTTTTTTATTTTAAAGGTAAAAGATAAACAACATCTTCAACGTAGAAATTCAACCCCATAAATCATCTTCACCCAAATAGATTAAACACATATTCGAGCAAATAAACAAAAACCATGAAACAAAATTACAGTAGAGAGACATCAGAATTTCTGAAAGTGATTCCACATTATGATTTTCCCAAAGTTTAGATTTTCTATCGAACTACTGTCATTTCAAGTACAGAAACAAACATGAATTCACGACACCGTGAATATACTATCCATCTCTTACTTTGAAGCTTCATCTATTTCCAATAAAAATCGGTCGAAAGTTCAGATATCTAAAACCATAAAATACAGCAAGCTCCAAACTAATTGATATTCCAAATGATAAAACAACACTCACGAGAATATATTTGAGATTATTCGTGCTGATATCATCCTTGGACTCGTTAACCGAAAACAACCCTAATTTCGCGATCATCTCCTCGCACTTGTTCAACAATTCGCAACCTTTCTTCAGAGTATCCTATAAAATCAGCAATTGAACAAAACACAATCAATCAAAAACACGTAACTGACTTTCAGGAAACGAAAAAATACAGAAGAAAATAACGGAGAGAGAAAAAAACCTGATCAACCGAAGAATCGGATGCCGCCTGGTGAATTTTTCGAGACTTCTCGTAAAGAGCAGGCAGAGACATCTCCTCCATGTTTAATTCCACCATCGAATTTTGATTGTAATCGGAAAACTGAAAAGTGTAAAAATGGCAAAGCAAAGAGAGATTTGGTAGGGTGAAAGTGGAATCTGAGAGGAATTTGGGATTGCGAGAGAGAAGGAGCTGGTTAGAGTGATTCGTCGTTCATTTCATGGGGCGGGTTGTCGGGTTGACCCGAGTCCATCTTTTAACTGGGTCATGGGATGACAATACATATGAATAATTAAAGCCCAATAACCCAAACCCTAATTGGGCTGATTTTTCGGAGCCCAAATACCGAATTCTTTGGAGCGAGTCTTATGTGATGTTGATGCATTGATTCTCAAACAATACTTAATTCCATTGGCAAATTATGGCCCCCTCCTTGTGGGAAGATTAAATTACGAAAAACTCCCTTTTATTTGGTTTTCATAATTTGACCTTACCCTTGGAAATGACCGTAATTTGCTCTAATCTCAAACGAAACCAATTTTATAAAATAGATTGTATGTATTTTGGGCCAAATTTTGAGACCCCACATGCAAAATTCAAATGAAATTGCTATATAATTTATCCATAATCCATTCCATACCAAGTGTGGGTATCTAATCATGAAATTAGTTGAATCTTGAAAGGTACATTTATGATTTATGCATGGAATTGATTTAGGTGCAAATCCAACGGTGGGATTCGAACCCTGTGAGCAAGCCCAGATTCCAAGAGCAGATCTTAGCATTTAAATATAATATTGTAATGGACCAATATATAATTATCAAGAATTGTATAGCTTTACTCCAACAAAGGTCCTTCTTTACAGGTCTCAGCCAAGGGGGCAACTAATTAGTAAAGTTGTGCATAACAAAATCATCATTAATCCCAATTTTTATTTATTTATTTATTCTTTTAGTGGCCTCGTCATCATCTTTTATACCAACAACTCATTCTCATATTTTCTTGGTTTCACAAATTAAAGTAGTTGAGAATTCAACACAAATATTCGATTCAATCTGAAATTTAATGAATCAACCGTAATAAAACACTAAACAATTGAAGGACGAACGAGATAACTAAAGACAACTCCTTCTCCTTTTATATCCTCCAATAAGTCAGCTCCATCCCCAAATCTTCAGCACGCGTGTCTTGATCTCCACCTCAATCAATACGCACGCTCCACTTCAGCAAGACAGTTAGTTATTATACTCTCGTGATCAATCATCCGCCGCATGTACAATTAGTTGCTTGCACGACACTCCTTAAATTTATTTACTATCAGATTCACTAATCTTGATGAATCGATGATCAAATCCAACAGAATCGAAACAATTTAAGACGACAATCAATATGAAAACGAAAAAAAAAAAAAAATTAGTAGTGATAGCTTAGCTCCTATCCTATTAATCATTTTGTATATGAAAAGGGATCTTTTAAGGGGAATCTAGAAATTAGTCTCATGATCCATAATCATAGGGAATAGACAGAATCTGATGTTTGTGGTCCAAGTCAACAATATTAATATTATTCTTCATTAGTATTTAATTTTTTCTGATTCATCAGAAAAACTACAAAATATAAATTGTTAGGCAGCCTATGAATATGGCCACCATGAAAAAAAGGAATATTATATATATAGTATATACATACACATATACATACATTGCATGTTTACATATATTCATTCATGATGTGGGCTATACATACAGACACAAAGAGATGGACAACCTGGAAAAAAGATCACCATACATTTTAACAAAAACTTCTTCATTATTTTGACATATATATATACATATACATATACATATACATATATATATATTATTGTTTTCTGGCCTACTTGCTCCTTATATTCAGAACCGTAAAATGAAGAACAAATAAAAAATGAAGTGTTTTTTGCATAAAGTGGGGTTTCATGGGGTCAGCAGCACTGAAAACTATGGTAAATAAATAATATTTTTTTCTTTTTTTCTTTTTTTTTGTTACAGTACAGAAATTCCTTTTGAACTGATTTATTTAGCAGAGTTCACACGTGTAGAAAAAAACTCATGATTTTGGCATTCTCTGAAGATTTATATGAGAATAACTTCAACACCAAACAGATTTACCATTGATTATTGAAGAAATTCTCAACTCAGGCCCCCTGTTCTTGTAAGTAATGCTGATTTAATTTAATTGATATATATTACACCCAACGAATTAAAATTGCTGCAAACCCTAGATTCTGTATGAACATTTCTCATTAATTTCACATTTTAAAGATTGGATTTTTATTTTTGATTCCATTACATATTGTAGATGGAGGAAAAGGGTATGGCAGATTCTGAGGTTATTTTCTCCGACGAAGACGTCAGCAGCTTTTACCCCATGTTTTTCGGCGTTTCCTGTGCGTTTTTCGCTCTCAGACTTCTGCCGGCGCCGGAAATATGCCACGCCGGCGCCGGCGACAATAATTGGTCGGAGATTAGGAACAGGATGCTTAAAGGAAGTGCCCATCTTCTGGGATTGTTCATTTACAGGGCCAAAACCGGCAAAAAATCGAACATTCTCCGAAATCTCGAAAACGCCGAAAATCAAATTCAAGATTTGAAGAAGCGAAGAAGTGAAGAGGCAAAGGCTAATGAGAAAGTTATGAGCATATTCGCCGCCAGAGAACAGAGCTGGTTTAATGATCGGAGAAATCTTCGACAGCAAATCGGCTCTCTTATGAACGAGTTGAGAGTTTTGGAGGCGAAAAGGGACAAATCGGTTTTCGAATTGAACGAAAAATTGCAGGAAAAGGACAGATCGATAAGCGAAATTGAAGAAAAATTGAATAAAGCGGAAAATCTAGCTCAACGCCATTGTAGTGAGATTTTGAAGCACAAGACGACGTTCATCGAGCTCGTCTCGAACCAGCGCCAGCTGGAAGCGGATATGGGGCGGGCCCTACGTCAAGTTGAGTCCGCAAGACGAGATCTTGATTCGGTTTTGGATCAAAAGGAGCAATCTGTTTTGATGGCTCAAAGACTTTCGATGGAGCTTGTGAAAATTCGGAAAGATTCGGAGCAAAAAGATCAGATTTTGTCCGCTATGCTACGGAAATCGAAATTAGATACGAATGAGAGACAAATGCTCCTAAATGAAGTCAAATCTTCTTCCAAGGTCAAACACGAACGCGAACGCCATTCGTTGCGAAATATGTTGTCGTATAAGCACGTAAACGAATCGCGTAAGATCTCACGTTCTTTAATTTTTCGTGTTGCATTTTTGCATTTGATTAATTAATTTTTTTTATTTTCAATTTTTTCTTTGAGTTAGTAGAAGATGTGGAGGATTTGGAGAATTGGGCGGAAAAGTACAAGATTTCGATGCAGCAAAGGCACAATCTTGAAATAGAGGCTTTTGCGGAGCAAATGAGGATAAAAGACGAAAAATTAGAAGCTTCTAGATGGCGTTTGTTGAGCATGGAATTGGAATCGAAGAGGCTTCAATCACATATCGAAGGTCTCGATTGTGATGTTTTGCATCTAAGGCAGGAGAATATGAAGCTGGAATCGTTACTAATTGACCGCGAATCGGAATTGCATTCGATGAAAGAGCAGTTAGTATTGCAGTTCAATCCTCCAAATTTACAGAAACTGAATTTCAGCCCCTCTCCCGCCACAAACGAAAATACAGTTTGGTCGAAGGTCAAAATCGTCAAAACAAAACCGGAGGGGCAGAAAAGTCAAGAAAAGAACGAGGAAGTTTCTCAGTCGGAGAACAATGAGAAGGATATAGTTTTGACGCTTGAATATCCTCAATTCGTCGACTCGGATATTGTCTCGAATGAATCGAGCAAGAAAAATAATTCGGTAGCGAAGATAGATATTCATGCACTTGGTGTGTCGTATAAGATAAAGAGACTCAAGCAACAATTCCTCATGCTCGAAAGGCTCACTGGAAAAAAGCAAGAAAATTCCGAAATCATCGAGAACAAGGGCATAAACGGAATTTACGAACTTATATCAACCCTCAACAAACAGGCCGATAGGTATCAGTCACTTCAAGCGAAAACCGACGACATTTGCCAAAGAATGGTTATTATTACATCAAATATTATACCACATTTTACTTGTGTTATTATTATTAATAATTTTTATTTTTATTTTTTTTGTGTGTAATTTCAGAGTGAGAAGGAATTGAATTTGAACTGCGGAAGCTCGGGAATCGCTAGAACAGAGGAGGAAACGAAGAGGCTGGAGAATTATCTCGACGAGACTTTTAAACTACAGAGATATATAGTTGCGACGGGGCAGAAACTAATGGAGGTACAATCTAAGATTGCGTTCGGATTTGTTGCTTATTCGGAAAACATTGAAAAACCGGATAATTTCGATATGAAACGGTTTGCTGATAGTATAAGAACGATGTTTCGAGAAGTTCAGAGGGGGCTAGAGGTACGAATATCTCGAATTATTGGTGATCTTGAGGGTACTTTGGCATTTGATGGTATCATAAATTTCAAGAAAATTGTTTGGAATTGATATTAGTTTTAAGATTAGTGTTTTTTTTTTTTTTTTTTTTTTTAATTTTAAATTTTAATATGCACACCACATCACATGCTACTAGAAGTGCGCCGCCGTAGCTGCAGTGCCTCTTGACAACACCTTTTTT